GACGACCAGAAAGCTAAACACTCACCGTTGTCCTTCGCAAGATCACTTTACGAGATACAATTTTGGCATATTTGGTAATTAATTATTTGCTATATTCCTATGCGCAGAAGGTAATCGTAAGAAGATCTTCGGAGAAATGTATCTATAGCTTTCGTTTAAGGCAATAGAGACGTGCGATTTTTTGTACGGTACAGGAATGATTGAGAAAGTTGAACTCGACACAAAAAATTATATATCAGCTTTCAATTTAGGTTTTAATATATATATATATATATATATATATATATATATTAAAAATAGTAAAACAACTACTGTTCAAATTAATTTAAATTAAATGAACTCTTAAAAAAAAAACGTTGTTCTGTCACACAGTGTTTTGTACAGTGGCTTGTCTACGCATTGTCGAACGTGTGCTCACATAAACCCATGCCTTGAACCAGTTCACCTTGGCAAGCAGAAACAGGGTGAGGACGGGGATACCGACGCTGAGAGATAATTTTAGCGCATTTGTTTAAACTCAACATTTTCGGTACGAATGTTAAATAGGCTTAACTTGACACGGAATCCATCTAAACCAAAAATTAAAAATGCTATTGCTTTATTCATACAACCATCGTGATTCTATGGGAATAGAGATCAGTTCCGGACTATAGTATGTAAAGCACTGTAATAAGATGTGCTGTTGAAGTAATATGAAGGTCAGCTTGTACAGCTGATAGTTGGCAAAGATGAACCACTTGGTAAGAGCCGTTTTGCGTAAACTGAACAGGAAACATGTTGGACAGTCGATGGATTCGAGTTTTCCAGCCTATGGCCTATTGCATCTACTGAAACATTCACTAGTACTAGGCTTGACCTATTAAAAAATGTGTATCACTATATTAGAATAGAAAAGGTACAGATAGAAACTAGACAACAAGCGTCTTGTTCTCGTGGATGAATGCTTAGTTGCGACAAATTCTTTAAGCTCGTTCTTCTGCGTATTCCAATAAGCAAATGATTTATATGTTTTCGTTGCACCCGAGTTCCAACGCGTGCTTTGCACATGCGTATTTGTCGGTTATTTTCTAATAAGAGGTTTTTCGCTGCTAAGGACTCATAGCTTGTCTCAATTTGAATGTCAAATGCCGTTACAACAAGACCCAACTCGAACTAACACTCGGACATTGAGGTATTCAGTATTCTCTAATTTGTTACGTTCAGGGGCATATCTGCTCTCTTCCAAGTTTGTATTCTTATTTCCAAAGCCCGTTTGTACAGAGCGCTTGCAGAGCGCAGCGATATACACTCTGACCAGTGGCTTATTAAAGGCACTTTTTAGAAACTGCTTTGAAAAATTAATGCCAAGAAAACAAGGTCAGATAACGTTAGAAGTCCATACAGGATTTGACAGGATTGTTAAAAGAGGACTCCGAACCTTTATAATTATCAACATCGAATCTGGGATAGGACTCGTGCAGACGAGAAACGACGTTTGAACTACAGCAATGGGCCGACTTAAAAACGCGGTGGTCAATGCATAAACTGATCTACTCATCGTCCTTAACCGAAGCATGAAAAACCTATTGGGCTAAAGAATAACGACGTCAGCCATAAATTGAGCTATAGTTCACCAGCTAATCTGACAGGTCTCAATGATATGGCCGCAGATAGCGTGTTTTCCCGTTAAACTAAAAAACATAAGGATAGGTCTAGATTCGTTTCGTGCTGAAAACCAGTCATTTGATGTAATGCCTTATGGCCAAGTACGGAGCGTAAGACACGCTTGTCTGAGCAAAAATAGTGGCCCGATCTAATCAACGGCTACCAATCAACAAATCCTGTTGTTTAAGTCTTGCCTGTTGATGTCACAATGGAGCCATTCTCAACACTTATCGCATTGCAAAATCGAGCGTTCAGTTACACACGTATCCAACGCAGCTTAGCATTTGTTCTACAAGTTTCACAAAAAATCGTTTAGATCGTTGAAAGAACAGAATATGTTGCCGTGAAAAAACTTCCCTTGCATTTTATCCTGTTATTAAATTGCAGTTTTCTAGTTCATTGAAATCGTCACAAAATCCCAGTTAAATACTTTACTCGACGAAAATTTAATAGTAACCTAACTAAAGCTGGTAATTGATATTTATTCTACCATACAACCTGTCTGATCGAGAGATAAAAATTACACTTTCTCTGCTGCAAGTAGCGTTCATTAGTTTGTACTTGATTAAAGGCGCACCCATATCTACGGACTAAGTACAGCCATTATAATAATTTTCAAAAGCTTACCATCGTTGAGTTGTAGCACCAATTACGTTTTCCCAGTGATACATGAACCGATGAAATTTGCTCAGTTAAGTTGAAGCACGTTTGGATGCCCATGTGTACAGGACAAGCAACAAACGCACGTAAATAGAACTTTATCCTTGTTTCATTTGTCTGCAACGGAACTGAGAACAACTGATATTATGTGCTGGATAGTGGGCACCGGTGGAAAAGGCGTTGTCTAGGTCGAAAGAAAACAAGGACAATACTGCAGCTGGCCTATATCATCGAGAAGTTCAGTTCACTAAAACAAAGAACCCTGGCAATGCTGCAACAATGTGCGACTCTATAGCGCTAAGGTCTTTATAAAAAATGAGTATACCAACATCTCAAAGATGGAATCGAGGGCCGTATGGTCACTCCAGATGAATCTAACTTTTTAGTCTGACATATCAAGTTGTTCGGTGTGTCTAAAACGCTCTACAAGGGTGGCTATTTCCATCTCGATATGGTGTTTCCCACCTCCTACCTTAAAATTTATCACATTCATGTAACATCCCAACATTCACGAGAATGGAAGCATATGCGTATCAGCGCTCCACAATCCAGATTACGCTTGCACGGCAGGATGGAAGCGGAACGAGATGTAATCTCCAGTGCGTTCGGCTTTCTCGATGATTTCGTCGGTCATTTCCATGCTCGATGGCCCAAATCTTGAATAGTTTGCCAACGAAGAGGCTAACCGCATGTGCTTGGATTGGATAAAGAGTATAGGAAAAATAAAGAAATACGAGATCTACGTAAGAAGCTTTGTCGACTTGACAAACGCAGCGGCCGCTGTAGAGAAAGTTATTTTTCCAACAACGATTGACGAGTCCGTAACGACAAGAAAAGATTCGAATCAGTCTGAGAACGACAAATATGTCCAAGATGACTATAGTCGGTACGACAATGATGCCCCTTACGACGCGAACGAAGCTAATGTTGGCCATGCGAGCGTCTACTGATAAGAGCAAGCATGGGCTGAACGAAGAAAACCATTGCCTCGAACATAGTATCGATAAAGATTCCGGTGTGACCGCCAACAGTGACCTAGAAGTTCTCTTTATCGAAATTCGTGGTGATTCGTTTGGGATTATCGGCAATTCAGAAACAGACGAATCGTCAGAAGAGCTCATATAAACGGATTCGGCGGTAAAAAATAGCAGCAAACAGAACGCAAGCTCAATTCAATAAGATGCCCAATAGTCTGAGCCACTCGTAGGACAATTTGAAAACTTTATTAATAATAACGTTATATTTATCTTATTTGTACAGTTATAATGAAGCCATAACAGCGGGATGGTCATGTTATTTCTAATACTTGCAATGCTAATGATGATAATGTGCAAGAAACGGACTGGATGATGACGCAGTTGATTCATCTGTGTTACGATTAGCGCATGATGGAATGAGTATAACTAGTAGTGTACGGAGATCATCAATACTATACGTTTTATGAAGATCATGCTGTGGCCATATTATGCGTTTTTTTCGGACTTAATCCTTAAAGGGCGCACATAGTCTCTTTCTGAGGGATTCTATGGAAGCCTTTTGGTCGCGACCAGGGTTATGAGACACTGGAGTCAAGACCACTTACGATAACGGTGATATTTTTAGGGAACGAAATTATCAGTTGACCATGAGTTAGTCAGTAGATTGCAGCAGCAGTGATGGCTGTCGTACGTTTTGAAGCTTTCTGAGTACTGTGAAAAGAGGGAAAAAGCCCATACACCGTTGCGTTTGTACGAATACAGTGTCACGTGTGTGTACATCCTCCTAGGGAAGGTAGTGAAATTTAACTGCTGAATAGACGACTGACTATACATCAAGGCTATACATCAAGCATACGCCTAAGCGTTAGTTTAGAATTCTTGATCTCGAGGACACGCGGGGTAAATTCAGCTCTCATCGATAAATAGCTCTGAATTTCTGACGCGTAGATCTAGCCAATGTTTTTAGTATTGACACGGTATTTAAGCGTTTTTTACAGTTTTGCGATGCATTTGGACAAGCATATTGAATCATTGCTATTAACATATAGATGAGATACGCAGGCTCGAGCGGTAACAGTATACTAAGTGACGCGTTATCGTAAGTTGGGACAAAAAGAGGTGCGAGCTTTTAAAATATGCATGAAACTGTACGTTTTTATTTTTTGCCTTGTAATCAGATTCTATATATAATACATTGAGCGCCAATACCTAATCGTTCTCCAATAATTTTTGAATCATCAACGAAAGTTTAGTCTAGTGATCTGGCCCCGTGAATGCGAGTAGGGTTGAAGTTTCAACCATTCTTCGGTGAAAAAAGCTGCGTATATGTTGTTGACTGTAAATAAAATCATGATACATTACAGAATTCTCAGAAATAGGCCAATAAACTAGCGTTTTACCTCGTGAAAATGAAGCGTGATTACATGGTTAGCGTTATCTGAATATAACTGTTTTTTTCATTATTGATTGGCTTCACCGGACTAATGAAGGCTCCAATATATATACAAATGTCAGAATATGGTAGCTAACTTTCGCGTGCTTGACAAAAAACATGACCCAACCACTTCACTAAATATTGTCTGTCCCTTAAAGTAGCAGTCTTTTAAAGCAAAGTAGCAATACGTCTTATACTCCCATTAAATTAAATTAGTAAATTAGTCCAAAAATGATAGAAAGTTTTATAGGCAAGATTTGTTCTTGGTTCTCCTTCGTTCGCAGATGGCGGTTCTCCTATACGAAATCTCGGTAATGTCTCAACAAATATTCGTATGTGGATAGAAGGATCCAATTGGAACGGTCGGCAGAAAACCTCGTAAAATGATGATAGATCATTTTTACGATTACTTACACGCGTAAATTTTCGAACGTATGGCAATTAGGAGCAAGCACTGATAGGAACATTTATCAGAATAGTGTTCTAATAATAATTGCAAATACAAACTCAAATTTTAAGCTGTGTCAACCATTTATTGCTAAAATTTACAGAGAACAAGCAAGTGACTCAACGGTGTTGCCATCCAGGCAAGCGATCCAGGCAGGCGATCCAGGCTGTCTGGATCGACTCGAAATCGAGTCGTATAAAATAGTGCTTTCCTGTTCAATACTGTAGTAATAAACGCATTGTATTCCAGCAGCAAGTCTCATAACTGATCTACTGAGCACCGCGGAGGGGTTAATTATCACAACAATATATATATATCATACTAAGCATTCTGAATTAAATGAGTGAGCAAATACACGACAGAAAAGTCGAAGTATATGAATATTTACGTTAACGATTTATTTTAAGTTAATTGCATCTTTATTGAAGAAATAAGAAGCAATCATTTTAACGAAGTAAGTTTATAGGCATCGATTTTTAAATTACAAATCGCACGCGTAATGTTTTTGTTTACTTCAAAGGGCAGTGAATGTTCGTCTTGCTTTTTAATCAGCTCGTTTAGATTCGAGTAAGCTTCACCTATTCATTCCTTGAGAGAAAACATCATTTATTTCAAAATTATTTTTAGTAAAAATAAATTAGTAAATTGTTGGTAGGCAAAAGGAGGGGATCAACTGCTGTGAAAGGTATGAGACGATGCGCTTGTTGATACGGCTCTGACACGAGCTGCAATATATTTCAAATTAATGAACCAAATATCAAACAAAAGTCATAGGTCTGTTAGTAATCCTTAGATGACTTGCTTCCATGTCCATCGACTATTGAACATTAGTTTATTTTATACATATGTTATAGCGTACAATTGTTTCTCGTACTTTCTAGCTTGCCGTCAGAACTCGTATAGTAAAATAGAGGAAAGCCTAATTAACCTATGCTTGTTGCCGCTTCGTTTCATGCTCCTGTTAGGCGCAACGAATATGAATACCATATCGATAGCATATAATGGAACACGTGAATGCCTTAGCTAAATATCTAATACGCACTAGTCTTATTAGAAATAGCTTAATTTTGATTTAAAGCTCTAATTCTGATATTATAACACACTAGTCAAACCACATAGATATTGTAGTTAAACAACGGTCACTCAATATAGCGGCCGCAACTATATAACTGTAATCTGTTAGCTTTCGCCGCGCTCTCCCTACGTATACTCATGGCGCAGGGAGGAGAAATGAAAAGACCGCCAGATGGAACTAGTGTCGCGGTATTGCTACTAGCTAACTTCAGTTCTCTGTTTCCCTCTTTTCCCACCGAATGATATTTAGATCGTGGGTTGGAAAAGTTTATTTTTGTTAGTATTCCATTCTTTGTTTTCGGATTTGCCAATAAAATTTTTTTAAGAATATTCGGAATTGTTAGAGTTCTTTTTTCGAATTTTCCGAAATGGTTTCGAGTATTTAGATGATTGTCAGTTTGTAAATGGTAAGACATCATTCCCGAAACGACGATACTACAGTTACTTCGAAGAGATCAGCAGAGTTTCAAGGAAACTGCCTGTTTTCACCAAATGTTTGTCGCTTCAGAGAAATTGCTATAGTTTCAAAGAAGTCATATATATAGCTTCAGTGTTGATAATTTCACTAGCCCCAAAAAAGAAAAAAGCCTGTAAAGTGTGACACGGTTAACGGTTGTGAAAAATCTGTTCATTTTTTTATCATACAAAAATAACTGAAAAAATACTCGAAGGCAGTATAGCGGATTAATTTGTGAAGATCAAATAGTGCTGACAATCCCAAAAAACCTTAATTGCAAGAATATAAAAAAACACTGTACTTTTTAGAGGTTCAATTTAGTTTTCTGAACTATGTTCTGAACAAGAGTTCTGAACTGTGATAATTCAAATCAGTTTATCGAATATGCACGATATCCAGATTATATTGTTTGTCATGTTTTTAACATCATGTCATTTAAGTGACCGCCTCGCACTTTCCTTGAAAAGCTTCAAATGAAACAAGCAATTTTTTATATCTCCAATTGTACAAAGCTTAGGCTTAGTTCTACGCTTTGGATTCTTTTCCACAGGCAAAAATTAAGTTAACGCAAATAATTAACGCAATGGTACGCGTAATACACGGAAGGTGGCATGTTTATCAAAATTCTGCTTTAATGACTTATAAAGTTCCGAGTGCTCAATGACAAGTGACACTTTTTTTATTGGCACCATATATTTTCTACATCAGACTCACTCAGTTTCAGCCACAGAAAGTCCCTTAATGTGTTTTTTTAAGATGTATAGTTAATGCCTTGAACACTTGTAAAAGTGAAGCAAAAACGGCCCGATGACATCTGCCACAACTATTTCAACTCCATAATGTAGTTCCTCATAAACGTGATTCTCCTACGTCCGTATGTAATCATTTTGGCTATTCGCTAATCTAGTGGCGTCTAGTTGCCCTAACAGGCCTTCAGCAACTGCAATAAGAACTTCATTCGTGTGAAGTAAGCTAAAATCCATGGGTGCTTACGGCACGGAGTTACGGATTTAGACCTGGTCCTTTCAAGCCTTTCCATAAAGCAAAGCAAAAAGGTCTAGGAAAATGCAACATGCCTACTGTGCACTTGATTTTATCTTTAGCATTTAAATCACGCCGATCTATTCTGGAATGAATGATCCTATATATTGGCTGGCTTAGATAAATTTATTGTATAATAGTCTTAGACAATACTTGAATTGACCCACAAAGGCCGATATTACCCGCTGCCACGTTTTACTTATGTAGACATTCATTAAATAGAATCATGCGATTTTCCCGCGTTTTGACATATCTGCAGACTTAGATCTATTTTGCAAAAGAACTGGCAGTGAACGTATCGTTATAAGTAACTCTAACTAATTCAATTTTTTTGCTTAGTATAGTGATTAAATAGTTCGTGGATATAAACAGCACTACCGACAAAACAGTACAGCCAAATGGAGGCTACAAGACGATCTAGCACAGTAAAAGAAGCAACATTTCGAAATAGTAAAAACAACTCTAAGCAAATAATCGCTAAACCTATTGCCAGGTGTTCTTTCAATCAATATTGCGGCTTATAACTTACCATAAGCTTTATACTGTCGCGACGTCGATGACTGCCAATATAGCTTCATTTTATTTAACCACTCAGGTTCATACAGTAACTTGCTAGCAGATATCTTCTTTTTATAATATTACGGAGGATATATCGGTAACTGACAACACACCCAGAAGCCCTGTGCATAAAGCAGGAAGCTAATCGATATTCAATCATCTGCGAGATATCATTGAAAGGAACCCAATCATATGAGCGGTCATTGATTTTGTCCCCTAATCGGTATTGCAGTGATATAAAAGCGAATTCTTTTTTTTGCAATAAAAGAAAGTCAGATATGGAAGCTTTCTATTTTCTTCTCAGCCTAGAAATCGTTCACTCGAAACTAAATTTTTATGAAATGATGATGCTATTTATTACTTGTTTATTCATTGCGTTTGTGCAGAACAACAATAATAGAAAAACCTTATGGCTAGCCAGCTAGAATGTTTGTGTCATATATAGGTGCATGGCCCGAGTGTGCACACTCACCTTCACTTCAATCGAAATCATGATTGAAGAAACATAAGTATACACAAACATATGGGGCTAAAAGACAATGTCGATCTCGTTATTCGTTAGACCGGGAAAGTAGCAGATAAACGTTCACGAACAGCGCTTTCGTCAGTCCACTTGCAGCACTTTCATCGGTAGTCATTGTGCTGCTTTCAATCACAACACTGTCTGGTCGCTAACACGAATGACAAGTATTTACTTTATTGTATAAAATGAAGTTATGAATTTTTGATCCGCATTATTTGTCCGAATGATCGTGGCAGCCATACAGTCCAGCGTTACCCGTCGAAAAGATCATCGTATCCTTTATCTGACTGTTGAACCGTCCTAATTTAGGCTGGATCACGATGTCGAGGCAGATCCAGTAAGCAAAGGATACCCAGAGAGTAATGGAAAACATAAAAAAATACGGAACGGAAAGCTAAACGCTCTTCAAAGTATCTCAGGAAAGTCCCGCAGATGCGCCACTATTCGAATGTTGACAACAATCGAAGAGTACACAGCAATGAGGTTGTCATTTTTTTTCAACTGCCTGAATACTTCTGAAGATACCCAGAAAGACTGGTAGGAAGGCTTATTACGAAAATAAAAAAGCTTATCCGAGTTGTATGTGCATCTTCGCCAAAGCAACTCCTCATAATACAAGTTCATTATAAACATTCGTAGTCTAACTTATAGAGACCAGTAGAGCCTTACTTCGTCAACCTCATTTTTGTACTTTACAGCCACATGTTTATAAGTATAGTAAATAATTTGACCTAAAGTTTTGTACGCCAACCCGTAGTCAAAGTTACAAATCATTCAGGGTAGCAGCATGCTAAAATAACCAAAGTAAAAATCAACCTTGCGAATTACCAAACGCATTTTATGACACTGCTCACTACATTGCACATGCCGATGAAAAAATACGGGCAAACAAATTGAGTAGAAGGTGTAAATAAGATCAATCGTAATTTTGGAAATGGTGAGCCCTAGACAATCCTGAGTGGCTCTCCAAGGTACTCGACTGTTTTTAATAAAAGAATCCATTGGATCACAGCAGCAAGTATGATACCACTTGCAGTAGAAATGACTAGCCATAGTGCTTGATCCTATATCGACAAACTATAACCATAATTCAAATTAATTATAGATTATAAAAGGAGAGATAGAAAATTGACGCCCTCTGCATCCAGTTTCTAGAAACGTAAGTACTTTCGTTAGCTAGACGTTGATAAATAGGTACGTAGCCTTATATATTGATATAATATTATATTGCCTTCACTCAATAAAGAAGGAGCAACCAATAAGAAACAAGGTGAATGTCCTCAAAACTAATAAATAGTATCACATAGTAATAAGACAAGGCAATTGTTAAAGAACTAATGATCACCTTACTAAACCAATTCAAATTACGGTTCAATGTAGTCGATAAGGACTGAAGCTTATAACTTATGAAACATACTACGTCAGTTTTGTTAGTTATTTATTTGCAATAAAAAATCTAATAAAATTATTTCTTCTATTATTGGAAAAAAGCTTCCATTAGGTCCTAATTCAAATGAACTCAAAGCTGTCATATAAATATAAAGAGGCCAGGAATTTCAGTTTGTTTCAGTTAGCAAATCACAATTGTGTTTATTGAAGATGTAGATAAGAAAGAACATGGTGTTTCCCGAACTGCTTAACTGTAGCTGGCGTTCTAAGTGAGGTGTAGGCACTATTTAAACTATCGCAACTGTTTTAAGTCTAATAGTTGTGCTATTAAAAATAACTTACTTGCACATAAGTTAATGACTTAAGGGACCAGTATTGGAGGAATGACCAATAGAGAAAAGCATTATGCTTTGCAAGATCTGCGAACTATTATATATAAATAACATGGAAGTCTACATTCGTAATACACACAATGAGGGGTGCTATCTTTGATTTTAAGCAATACACTAATTTCTGTTAAGGCCTGTACAGTCTAATTAGCTGAAGTCTAGAGAATACATCATTATATTGCCTTAACCAATGCACTTATTATCTTTAATTCTGTACCTATTTTAAAAATTGTATTTTTGTTTCTTTTATTTCGGAATCCGCATCACTAAATATTAATTAAAATATGCAAGTATGTACGTCGTGCTCTGTTTATGTTTTGTCGGAGTTTTAGATGTTTAAGTCCATTGTTACTTATATGCAAGTATAAATATTACCACTGCTATAATTATTAACCGCATACTATTTTCTTTTTAGATTGGACAGTTTCGAACCAAGGTGGAATGCGAAATTTACAGCTGGAAAGAAATCTAACAGTGTAATTTGCTTCCGTGACCATTCGGCGCCTACGCTTTGATGCCCAAGATCCCGGCGGCATATTAATGTTCAACCTGGATCTACTGACACGAGTAAAAATATACTGTGGTAATATACGTTATTTGTCTGCATAATATTAGCGTAAATACATTTTCTCAGAATAGCCAGGTTTTCTGGTAATAATTGTCATGAAATCAGCCGTTAAACCATAGAAGATCCCATTATTATAAAAAAAAAATCGGCACAGTCACGAATATTCAATTGCATACTAAAATGTTAGTTGACTGATTGTGATCGAATTATCCTATAATCAATCTAATTTTATTTAGTGTCGAATGAAGAAACGCTGTTCTAGTCGTGGATCTGCTCTCGACACGCTGATTCGCTAGTTGCACCATTGTTCACATCACCTATATCAATATTTACAAAACAGCTGAAAACAGCTGACGCGTCCAGCAGACGACGAACGCGCGCTGGTTGCTCGTTTGAGGCCAATATGTACGTGTGAGAAAAAAAAAAGAAATTTAAATAAGTTCCTATTCTTCATATGACACTTTTCTCTATATGTATTTATGAATATTTTCCAGCAATTACGTAACCCTTGCGCAAATAAACGGTACAAAATCTCTGAGCTGATTACGCGTTACTGTCACTAACTGGGTTTCCGTTCCATACCTAGGCAACGGGTAAGTAAATTTTGAAAATCGGTGTTTGTCCAATAGTGTTCAGTGGATTCTATATTTGCAGAATATGAAACATTATCGAGCTCCGTCTACTGTTTATATACAAATTCCATTCAGACTGATAATGTTTAGATGCCGCATCATTTTGCAAGCGCGTTCTAAGTTGGGGCTGGACCCTGACGTCCGCCTGTACTTGACGGTTCAGATTCGTTCCAGCGGAATACCCCGTGTCAGACCTATAAATCGAATATGATTATTAAAAACAAAGTCAATTCGACCAAACAAAGATAGTAATTAGAAAATAGAAAATAAAACATTGGCACATCGCTTCAATTTCGGTCACTTAAAATGCGATAACTCTTGTGAGTGTGCTATGGCAATAAGGTTGTCACATTTGTTTCCAAAAACCACGTCATATTGCATCCAGTTGACAGCAATCGCATGCGCACAAAATATGACGCATTACGAAATTGGTGGCTTGCTGTCTAACTAATATGCCAACCTCTCTCCTAGATTTAGTAACCCCTCGATGTTTGTATTGACTGTGCCTTATACATGTTGCCAACGGGAAGTGTCTGTTCGTTGCGGCCTTAACAACAAAAAATATCACCGATCTACACATCTTATAAGACAAATTTGTTTTCTCTTCGTTTGGAAATTATTGCTCTTAAATATTTTGATAGTTGTACTTGGCAAACGTCAGATACAAATAAAAAAAAAGACTTAGCTAAGCCTAATAATAATATACCTCTAAATATTTGTGAAAAAAAAAATCATGCCAAAATGTCTTAGTCACACAGGCAAGATAATTGCAGGTAGTTCCATATAGCTAAGATGAGAAATCACTCCCATAAGCTATTGAAGTAATTATTAACGATAATTAAACTTCATTCAAGTGATTAAATATCCCAGCTCTATCTTCTATTTAGCTTCATATTATAATTTTCCGTTTGAGTCTTCATTATTGTGGATTAACTACTGTATCAGCATCTGACATATGTTCCATGTATATAATTGCTAACAAAAAGTCGTGTGCAGTCGTTGGCTTTTACGAACAAAACGAAGAGTGTATTTGCAATAAAAGTTGGGTGGAATTTCGACAAATGCCATTCTGGATGTTAACATGTATTGCTCTCTGCACTAACTCTGACTTTGTCATGTGCTAATCAGCTGTGAAAATGTGAATTTTGAATTTTTCTTAATATCGTTACTATGTCGAATTAGCTATCCACTAACATGTATGTGCTATCACAGTTCACTGTTTTATTGTCTTATTATTGTGAAGCACCTGCTAGCAATGGTAGACATTTGAGGATGTAAATTTGGAACCATTTGAACTGGCATAATTGTTTTATTATTTCATATCAGATACCTTGAACTTGTGCCTTCAACTATAACCATTATTTTAGGACTCATTCTAGTATATATTTTCCTCCAAAATCCGTGCAAGGAAAACAGAAATAGCCAGCTAACCAACACTGAATAACGTGAAGACGCCTCGAAACTAATCGAAACTTTTGTTAAAGTATAATGTTCGTTTTGTATAATTGGTTAATTAATCGGATGTGCAGAAGTTCAGGCGTTACAGCTTAATAACTGCATTAGGTCGTAAGCGTATATTACGCACGAGTTCTACGGTTGTTGTGTTGATATCCATATTTTGCCGATTTCGATTAGTATTTTCAGAATTCGTTTGATGCCATCGATAAGCTGGCAACACGTCTTGGAAAATTTATAACATAACTATTCTAAAAGCCAGCTATAACATGTCGCGAATGTACCGAACTTCAGGGTTTTCCGTACAAACGAGTGTAAATAAAATTCAGTACTATTCTAATTTACCGAGTCTTTGCTGACAACCGCAGATTATTGATAAATAAAGCTTTTAGTGTAAACATTTTCCTGTAGTGATGTTTTGTAGCCAGTTTGTCAAGCCTACGGCTAGAAGGGCACGTTCTGTTATACACAGCAGGAGTTAACGTACTATTTCAGGCACTGGGTCTATTATACAGTACAATGGAATACTGCTCTTTTGTTTTATCTTAGCTACTCAAATGGGTCGAGTCATCATTGCAATAAAAGGTAAATCATACTGAGACAATACGACAGCATATCTTGTGACTAGGACTGAGTGGTTGTAGCCATTTGGATTGTTTTATGTAAAAGCATAAACGTATTTTTTTCTAAGTGCTGATTCTCCTGCAAAGGTAATAATGGCAAATTTTACTAGCACATTGCTGGACATTGACATACTTCGTATCAATAATTCGAATAATGATGAAGCATGCTTCATAATTTTGCTTATCTTCTAAAAACGTTTTCTATTTCATATCTTAATTTTGCCATAGGGCATATGGGACCGGTCTAAATGTTTCCAGATTTTGTAAAAGTACTTGTAGTAGTAAACAGGTTATTCACAGAAGCGATTGATATACTAACCTCTAATCAAATTATACCACTATCTAAAATAGATTCTGAAATGTAATGGGTATATTTTAGTATTAGTACGTTGGCATGATTTTGTTGGATTTCTATGATAGACTCAACAGCGGGTCTGTTACAACCCTGCGCTAAAATTGCAAACAACATTATATATTCAAACTCAATATTGAGCGGAAGATGAGATGTAATGCTACGAAAACTAGTGTTTCAATATGAAAATAAATGTAGGGCTATTCAACTATCTTGTTAGCTTGCGTTGATGAGCAATAATATAACAACATATCCTTATATTAAAATGCATATGGACAAGAATGTTAAAACACATAACCAAAGAAACTAAGCAATATCTTTCGATTCTATATTTTTTTTGCAAAATTAACAAATCAATCTTTTCTAGATAAAAATAAGAAATTTTAAATGCCAGAGTGCTTCGTCTTGTTTTTGTAAGCAAGGATCGTAAGCAGGTAAGCAGGTCGGTGCTCCCAAATGTTAGATAATTACCGCTTAAAGTGAAACCTTGTTTCTTTCTGTCCTCCTTTTAATAACGGTAAAAAGATTTTATGCCATGTTCCCGACGGAACATATCTGACAATGCAAGGTAAAGAACATTAAAATAAGTAAAAATGTGTGTATGGGCTAAAGCTAAAAATCAAGTTCGTTATTTTTAATACTTAGGTATATTATTTAGTAAGTTGTAGGAGAGTTAACGAATTCCCACAATTGATTCTCGTTTCATTTTTCAGATTAAAAAAGAATGATGTTTTCGTGAGAAAACTGTGAGCCTTTGATCCCCTCTGTTACGATCTGCCTTAACGAACTAGAAATTCACACGCTGCTCGGGCCTTGAACATTTAATGGCGGGCAATCGTTCTATTAGTAATGAGTCCAGTAACATCACGCTGGGCTGCGACTGGGAGACACTCGACTCGCATGAAGTATTTATTGAACTTCAAGGAGTCACAGATCTTCCCTCTGATATCACAGCATCACAATGTGCCTTCATAAAACCGGACAGCGAGAGACCTCTGCTAAAGGTAAATACGTCTATTGTAAATTCGTGGATTAGCTTACTATTAGGTCGAAGTTACGAATAGTAATTTAATTTTCTCTGAACCGCCATTACATATTAATTACGAATAACTGTGGCTTGCCTGTATGCACACGTATGTATGTACGGTTAGGTACGTGATTTCGTGTATGCCGGCCGCTACGAAGATACGGTGGGTACTCATCTGGCGTTTCGCATCAGCGACACCGAAAAACTTTCAGCCGGCTCTGCTGCAACTGCAAATGGGGACTTCAATGAAAATCCATCAGTTGATCGCGTAGATATATTAGGACGCCACACTACAGGCAACAAGAAGTTACAGTATATTGGAAAAACGAACAAGCTCCTTCGAATGACGCCAGCATCTGTGCGAAGTAAACACATTGAAAAAAATCACTTAGATACAGAAGATTCTAGGAGGCTTAACGACGAGGAAGTAACGTTATCGGCGCCCAGCTAGAAGTATTATTGTTTTGGTGGAAGTGTAAAAGGTATATGAAAAATAACTGATATTTGCAAGGTAGCTGAAGCCGTGAAAAAGCACGAAGGACCTTGCTCTATACACTTCTCGTAATGTATGATGACATCTTTACAGGCCTGCATGAGTAAAATCCTACACATCATGTTATTCACGATAAGACAATAGGGAGAATCTGTCGAAAAACAAGTATATATGTCAGCAAACAGTTAGCTCTCTATTAGGATGCTCCTTCTGTATAGATAAACATGTCAGTAACCGTACTTTCGTACTTTTGAAAGTACCTTATATATACAAATTATTCTCGCCCACATTTTTTGTGAGGGCAATAAAAATTAATATAGAAGATGGACGCCTTAAGAATAGTTCCTATGCGTAATGTAAACCCAGCGTCTTCGTATGTAAAATAATGAAAACTTACGATTGCCGTCTTTACATGTTGAAGCTTATATTAGCCTTGAAGCAAACAGGCTGTTGATAAAAGGATACAGAATAATTCACAAGCAGTAAAACATCGATCAAGCTTTGAATAATGGTGAGTACGGACCTAAGCATAATAATAAATTGCCACATTTTGAGCTCAGTGGTATACCACAGTTAAGAAAGCAGTTGAAAGAAGGCAAAGAAAACGATAAAGCTGTGGGGTCGTAAATAAATAAATAAAAAAATATGTATGATTCATCTGCAGTCAATTAATTGCGACTGTTGGGGTCGACAAAGCGACAGCATATTTTAAAGGCTATCCGATGGATGGTTAATAATATAACAATTATAATTTAATAGTATTAATTCCATGGAAGTACTTATAATAACTAGTACCAGACTCAGCACGCTTTCCGATATTTTACTGCTTAACATAGTGTACTGTAGACGGTGTAGATGGGAAAAAAGATGTGTCACAAAATGTGTCAGCAAATAATGAAAGAGCTTAATATGACGATCCTTCCGAACCGACTGTATTTCAAAAGAATCGTCATTATATTAGCTCCATAAAAAGGATAGACAAATGTCAGCCAAAAGTGGAACTCATTAAAATCTACTTGCAATTTATTATGTTAATGAAAATATCAATGAATCTTCGCATCTCCATAACGAATATTACTGAACACCTGCATGCATACTGCTAGGCATTTGCAGTTTATGATTTCATTTACAGTTGTATTTTTTTGTTACTTTTCTTCACAAATGGGCTCAATAATATACTTGTTTGCCACTTTCAGGAAAACGTATCGACTAATGAATTTTTGGTTGAACATTGGACCTCACCGCCTTTTGTGTCGATGAGAAGCGCCTAGACATTTTCTCAGTACATCGCAGCAAATCTATCTCACTGCAAGGATCTTGCTGCAAACTCTGAACCCAGCTCGCTAGCGCAAGCGGTGACTTATCAGTCGTTATGAAAATTGAAAAGAAGAGGCTTTAGTTTTCCATGTTGCTTAGAAATCAGCTTGCCTGGAGGCTTATTTAACTGCGGTTCTGACTGAGTGTTCAGATGATTTTTTTAAATTCGTCGTGATTGCGTGGTTGCTTGTTTGCTACCTTTTGTTATCAGCATGTCGTAAACGAAGATGGGGAGACAATATAGATCATGCTACGGATTTTTATTATTAGTGAATAGCGTAGTAAATTATTAGACATCAATTGTACGTAAATATTACAATATGGTTGGTAGAAGGATACTTAATAGAGGAGCTTAAATGTATAGCATTCAAATAGGCAAGTTATGCAACTGGTGAAGATAATTTTTAAATAATATAAAACAGGGTAAATAAGGGAAAATTTAATATTATAATAGGGTAGGAATTTGCCAAATAAACATGAGATATTTACGGGTATAAGAAACACAGATACACGTGAAATTAGCGCTACGTACGAAGTTAATACTGTTTTTTGCTGCTGTATTCGTAAGTAAAATAGCGAATTGTTTATAGAAGATCAATTTTGTTAAGTACAAAATGTGTGCGCGTGCCTGTAATTCACTATGATTTATAATTATACACATATAAAAGATAGAGCGAGGGAAAAAGAAAGAGAAATCAGGAGTCGGATGGTCGTTAACTTTGCGGCACACACACTGCTGCAGCTACAGTTGGTAGAAGAGTACGTCAACAATAAGGGAAGGCTTGTGGCCAATATAAATAGATCAGTCAAGTTACAGCTAGCGAAGTATGCAAGCAAAAAAAGAATACGCATTGTCTACTGCTACTACGCCCACCGCCACGTCGTTCTCGATTACTTTGTGTCAGTATCAACAGTTCTTCTAACACAGATTCTACTAGACTCCTTCCACGAGACGTGCCAACTGTGTAATTACGCATTTAGTTTGGCTTTAGACAGTAATGAGTCCTAGAATCGTAACAGTGTATCTTTTTTTTTTAATCTTTTCCGAAGATCGCTAATTGCAGCATACCGTTAGGTGTATAGTCTATTCGAGCACCAATTCATATATCTACTATTCGGATATGTGCATTATTTTAAGTTTCTCTGGGCTGTTTCTCATAGGGAACGTCTCATAACATTAAATTGTGCATATATATATATATATATATATATATATATATGTGCGTTGGAATGATTGGAGGTGAATTATGCACATAAACATACTCCTTCGTAATGTAGATAAGCGTGTTTGGGCTCAAAAGCATTTATGATTTCCAGTGAAGGGCAATGACACATTTTCTGGCAGAATAGAGAGCACTCAAAGGTAAGTAGTATTTTAAATGGCGATAGCCTTGCTTTGTTTAATCAACGGGTTACACGCCTGAGCGGAACGTTAGACCTGAATAACGTAGCAATTTTGTTCATGTCCAAACCAATATAGCCAGAGATTCACAATAGAGGGATCTCACGGCCTGTCTGTTGGATGAGGTGTAGGGCACATTGAAAAAAGTAACACTGACACGAGCGGACCGACCTTTCCTTCTGAAAGTGAAGAGCTGGGAAACAGTCTGCTAGAATGGCTACGTCAGCATCTGGAGGCTCATTAAAGAGACGCTTTAGTGTCAGATCTATGCCCGCCAACTTCGCGAAGGCCATAAGTATGTGGTTGAGGTGACGAAGGCTCTTAGACAAACAAGGCACCTAACCCTATAACAACGCGTTCATGACTTAACGACTTACCTGTAGCTACTTCATAATGGTCTGCATGGAGATAGGCTTTCAACACGTTTCCCAGAAAATCCTTTTACAAACTTAGAATGATTCCGCAAAATTTCTTGTTAGGCAACAGTACATCGAATATTATATTTTCCAACAATACGTCCGTCTCTGAAAATGTGTAATGATCCAGCTCAACGTAAGTTTAACATGGCCCCGGCCAAAGTGCACCAAAGTGGGAGTTCCCTGGTTGGGCGCCACATCCTAACACAAAAAGAAACGTGCCGCTACCAAACCACACATTATGACCAAAACAGAGGTCGCTATGTATATGTAGTACTAAATTGGAAATGTGACGTTTCAAACCTAGACTGCCACATGCTTACCGCTGGTTCTCAAACATCCTTAAGCGAAGATATTAATCGCTGTTCTTTCCAAAAAATTTGATGCCACCATTCCCTGTATAAGTTTGGTGAAATATTAATTTTTATCTGAAAGTGAGCCGGTTCGTTTTTGGATCTGATAGAATTTTGATCGCCCTGATTTTTACGTTCAGGAAAGCGCACTGAAGTAGACAGCGTGAGGCTTGTTACATCTCTATATTGCAAAATCCAACCTGAGGCTGGCGAAAACGAGCAAATGAGCATGAGCGCAGCGGCCGCCCTGCACGAGTTCATTGAAGAATGAAACGAGGAGCGTCCGTCGTAAAATGGATCCGGGGCACTGCAGTAATTGATGTTAATTGTTGAACTCTAGGCCGAGTTCATATCCCGCTGGCCTAAAATATAAGGCCATTTCCGATTTCGCTACTGCATTCTTCAATCTGTTAGTGGTTTTACCCATTTGAAATATAGCGTAAGCTGAATGAAGAAATGATGAAGCTATACATTACTGTTTTTTTTACAGATACCGTAGTGGCTATAAATTCAATTTATTTGACGTTCTCTTGAAATGGGATACATATTCAATAGACGAAGTCGTTAGCTCAGCGGTTGGTATATTCCCTTCATGACAGTTTGACATGATTCTAAAACAAGCTAGGTAACTTCACAAAAGCTGTAAAGATGCAGCAGTAGTCAATGAACATAAATAAAAATATAATTAAGATTCGTTCATCCAGCTTCATGTATTATGCATTCGTTATAACGAATGGGTACAGATACCTCCGTCAATTTTTCGGCACTCTTTACCAACTTTTTGCTGCTCAATAAATTAACGTCTATTGAGTGAATCATCAGTTACAGCTCAGCTCATCGAGTTTAACCACAATATGCCTATTATGTTTGAAGCAGAGATATAACTCGAAATACATTGGCACGCGAAAAAAGTCCCCTTAGATTGTATCGAGGATCGACATTAGATTCGGCAGCATTGTCATGTACCTCGGACTCTTTACTGGAATGACTTTTGGCAGACTCCTACATAGGCTTGGATTGCGTACCCACTTACGGCACACCGTGTCGTTCAGCTCTTCGCTCATACTGGCAACTATCTACAACACTCAAAGGGTCATTATAAATAGGATTATTGTACAGTTATTATAAGCCAAATGCATAATAACTAATATAAAATAATGCATGATTACTTACTAAAAAAATTAGCGTGTGATTAAATAGCTTATCAAGGTGCAGTTACAACATTATGCTTCAACAAGTGTAAGGATAAGAGATGGTAGACATCAAAAAACAGAAAAACATTGAAAAAGATACAAACTTTTGCTGAAAACTTTGCGTGCTCCTCTCCGCATTTTTTAGCCACGTTAGTAACACAGCGTTCAAATTTCGCATGATAGCTGTAATCAAAAATTATTTTTTGTCACAATACATACGCGTAAGGTCTTGTAATTTACGTCACGAGCGAAAGCAAGATCAAACAAACTTGGAAGCAACGTGGATTAGAAGATTTAATCAGAGTGAATATGAAGTAACAAATAGAGCAAACTTTTAATTACTTTGATGCATCATGTTTTTTTCCCTATTAGGCGCAAAATAAAAAACATCGAATTTTCTTCTTCATCTAGACGGATTAATGTTTCTTAATGCAATGCTAAATCAGTTCCAGATGTAAAACTGTAAACATTCATTTTAAATGAATGAATTCGAAAAACCAAAAGCGCAATGGAGCGACGTTGCTTCCAAGGAGGCTACTTATTAAGTATTCGCCATTGTGCGCGTTAGTTACGCCTTTAGTTAACATATAAATTCCGTATTGGCCCACCGACGTCGTTATTTGAAGCTTTATAATCAGATTCTGCTTATGAGTCTCGAAAATTTTCGAGGTATTGCATATATGTTTCAATAGATTTTTTTGCAGCTAAAAATAGCCAACTGTAATCTTAGTTTGATGTTTTTAATGTTTTACGTTGGCACTTTAGCCGTTAGGTTTGCTTCAAACGGCTGGTTCCGAGCACAAAACATAATGCGCGAAACAAAGTTGGGATTCAAACCCATGCCATGACATGCCCTTAAGTGTACCAGCTAAATACGTTACTCAATGCACTATTACGAAGTCAATAGTTAGCGAACAGAAACAAGCACGAATTAATATTAACCGACCAGCAGGCAAACGGGATGCGATCTGTCTTATTTTGCTCTGTAATAGCCTGAAGGTATCCAGAATAGCGGACGTTACACTTGTGCAGCGCCGGACCAGACTTCTCGACGAGGCAGGGGGTCAACTTGAGGTACTCCTCTTTTCCTTTGCCATCACAGCGATATTCCAGTTCTTTACGGGCGGCTTCAACGAACATCTTTAACATAACCTGGCCTTGGCAGCCCACAGTGACGGATGAAGTATAGTAACAAGCAGAAAGAAACAACGATAGATGTCTATTAATCTCTTTTCATGAATTATCATTATTACTGCGTAGATCGATTACGAGCGAACAATTCTACAAAATGATTGTAATTTCATTATCCCCAGAAGTGCTGAATTGACTTGAATTATTGAACAATAATAGTATTCAATATTATTACAAATATACTCGTTACCTTTTTTTATAAGTTATAGAGAGTAGAAATCATGTCTCTGTCAATAAAATATATGCATAGCAATTCAGATAACTTGTTAATGCAAGAATACCAAAATGGCATATGTGATCCATGCATAAGATAAAACAGCAGTTCTTTTGTTTTGTTTATTTGAATTCAGTTATAAAGAAACGTTTATTCACAAAGCGTTTGTCTTCATTCTGGCATCAAAAGCCGCTATAAAGACTGTACGTAAAATAAAAGGAATGCATTTGTGGAATAGAAAAATAAAATCAGATTGTTACAAAGTAACGAAGTAAGGTGAACAGGTTAAGCAACTGTATAATAAAAGACGTATATGATCATGTCCAATCCATCCAGCAAGTAAGGCAACATATTTTTATGCATGAATACACCATTATATATATATATGTATATGTATATATAAAATGTGGTTTATATGCAAAGAGCGTGCTATTCAAGCTAAGGAATTGAGGTCATGCCCCTTACCGAGTCCCATGGTGCAGTTGTTCGCGTAGCGCTTAGTGGATCGAAGGGATGCACGTAGTCTAACGCATTCATCAACCAGTTCCTCCTCGGAAATAGGGGCCAGGGGTCCGTTGCCAAAGAATACGAGATCAGCTGTTGCGTGATCTAGCGCGGTGAATCCGCACCTATCAAAGTCTAGGCCGCCAGTTTCCTCCTTGGAGGATGCCGTAGTAGTGGCCCTCGTTGTCCCACAGCAGTAACTCAATAAGGTGAGTATACACCCTGCATTTGCCACAGTGACATAAATTGCACATTTAGGTAAATACTCCTGTTTTTGTTTCCCTCATTCACTGATAGTCCGTAAGCTTTTTGAATTTTTAAATTTTAATCATCTTGTTATCACTAGGCAGAAATAGTTCGCAAACGTTAGGAACTTAGGATAGTTTAGGCGAATAAGTTGTACGAGGCAAAGTCATGCGATTCCTTTCGGTTGTGAGTAGCGCCCGATGTGTGCACTTTGTCGCAAATGCGTCAGTTATTTTTTCATTATTCATGAACCACTATCCGGTTAGTTAAATTATTTAAATTAAATTAGTTAAAAAAAAGAAAAAAAAACTAGTGAAATGTACAGCTCAGTCTAACACAGACTTACATTTCTCTTCAGCAAGTTGACTAGCGGACCATATCTAAACTATTCGTAGCTACAAGCTATTTTCCAATTACCAAGACTATTCGCCTGCCCTTGTTGCATACCGTTTAACTTCCTCAGCGTAAACCAGATTCATCTTTGGTTGAGGTTCAACAATTAGAGAGCTTTCTACTGCTTACTTCGCACCAGCTCACGCACTCAGTGATTAAGAGCATTTTACTTCTATAACTCTATTATCGCTTATGCTATTCGCTTGAATGAACTTCCTGTTAACGCTGGGAGATGAAGTTTCATTAAGGTTCCTTGCAGGAACGGAACGAATGAACAAAATGAAGATGGCGGCAGCCATAGTAGAGCGAAGTTCACTCTACAAAGAAAACATACACAACAGTCAAAAGGATATCGACAGCATGCAACCAAGTTATCTATACTGTTTCAGCATTGAGGACAATAATCACCTTTAGTAAAGTGCGTGAAACGTTAGCCGAGCAATAAATAAGAAATATTTTAAGTAGTTATTAAGCGACTAAAACTTTGACCAGCAAAGCATATGAGACAGTCGGTATTGACTGAAACCGCAATGGCAAAATTTACATAGGAAATCCCATACGAACCCGTCGGGTATGGAATAATAACATTAACATGTTATATTATGAAAAAAAAAATGGTTTATTTCTTAGGCTTGACAAAAGTATATTTGAGTGAATGTGTTATTGCAACCTTTGTGAAACAAAACATCACGGCTCATCTTGAATCCACCCGATTTTAAATAACTCTATTCAAACCAATCTGTTTTCAACTATAGTCCTTACAAGTAAATTAAAAAAAAAAAAGAGCTTTCTAACAACGAAATCTGTAACCTAGTTGAATTTTATTTTACAGTCAACATTTTGGCAATATTAATCATAAAGTTGTGTGCTTTTCATTACAGGAGAACGTGTTCTTTTGCTATCAAGATATGAGTAAGGAAAAACAACAAAAACAACAAAAAAGCGATTAATGCACGTAGAATTATTAATAGATTACATTAATTATAAGCTACTCTCTGGTTATGATCACCGGCAAATATATTGCTTGCCTACAATATAATAATTGAATTAGGTTTGGCCAATAGGCTAGCTTATAAAATGTAAATGAAATATAGCACACAATTGACCCAATAATCAGGGTCATCAGATAATTGTGCAACGAGAGATTAGCCGCTTTAGCAAATATCCGTTTATTTATAAGTGTGAATCATTGTTGTTTATTAATCATTTAATAAATGTTCATAATATACGACACTAAATGATAAATTTCGTAAAAACAACCGGTCTTCCAATGAATATCTTCAAGTGGCTATAAAATTAGGCGATACTGGTTGTGCAGCCTCTGGATTTATGTTTGTGTGTACATTTGATTATTGCGACCTTAATCCTATCTAGTGTTTTTCGTTGTTCTAGAAAGTTCACAGGAAATGCAGCTCTTGAAAAGGAAAAGGAGTTGGCGATTAACTGCCTATTTAATTAGATACTGTATCATAAAAACAGAACTTTTCAGTTTATGTTACTTCATGTTACGATAGTTGAAAGTCGCCCACTAACAGAGCCGCCATGAACAACAAGAACAGCGATGCATCATTCAGGTGTCACTGATAACGAAAAAATTCATTCAAATTAAAAGAAATACACCAATAGACTGATTATTAGCTAGAACGTACCCAATACGAATACGGTGATAGTCATCTTGACTCGGGCTAAAGTGAACTGCCCATACAGGGAAGTGCGTTGATATTTATACGAGGTCGATTCATAGGTAAGTTAATAATGCCGACGCAGCTTTCTGAATCACGTCGGAACTAACATATCTGGCTGTTTCAAGACGCATTAAGTAAACTCTGTTACATTCTTTAATCGTGTTTCGTATTCAACGCTTTGTGATTTGGCCTATTAAGCAGTTACGTCTTTTGCACAGTTATAAAAAGAGCTAATGCGTTTGTCTAATACCTCTATATATAACTAGTCACAATATAACAGGTAATTTACATTCATATAATTAAAGCTGTCAGTTAAACGAATATGCTTCAAAATATTTGCGCTATCCATGCAGCTTACACTCAACGTTTTCTTAAGAGAATTAATGATTGCCCTATCATCGGCCTGTCAAAATCAATAATTTTTGTTCTACTTTTATCCACAATGGTCACTTACTAAATAAAGATACTCGCATGACTATGATTTAAACTATTTGTTGAGAATGCAGGATATGTGCTCAGTTTCCGGTGCCTGACCATAGAGATAAAGTCAATAAAAGGAGTTCGCTTGAATTAGTTTTTTTTTTTAATTTCTTTCTGAAGATGACTCTTCAAGGTATTTGAAAGGTATAAAATGAGGTGGCAGAAATATATGCCACACTGTGCTATTTATGTCAACAGATGGGCAATGATATATTAGATTTTGGAGCAATTAAGCTTGTGATACGTTTGATGTAACGTTCTCATCAACGATAAAGTCGGAAACAATGAATCCAGATATCAGGCTTGCTGAATCGATCGTTCGTACTTATTACCTAAACGTCAAAGCCAAAATTTCACGACGTTGAAGATCCTGTTGATTAGACTACGGGAAACTTATCTTTGATTGAAATGTATTCATGTGTCTTTTAAGCATGAAACGTTCCATAAATTAAATATTTATAATCGTATCATTTTCAGATCATCATAGCTCTGCGTCATCTACGGCAGTGTGTAGAAGAGTAGCTCTCCTAGTTCTGATACAGATTCAAAATGATCCGCGTTTGAGAGTTTGTATCAGTGCAATTATAATCAGTGATATATAAGCCAGCAGGAATATCATGGTTAGGATAATCAAGCAGAACAAATATCGACATCAACCCGGACACTTGTAAAATCTCAGAGTTTTAGAAGTGAGAATTCAGTACGTGTTGAAGGCAGTATTAATCTCTACACAGCACTGTCGATTCTCTAGTAGTTACCAGTCCGCTTCACTGTATCCTAATTATACGATAGCCCCATATCTTTTTCACCAGCAAAGAGAAATTAAGCCGATTAATAGCGTAAAAAAAATCAGAGTCGCTACAAATGGAGATCTTATTGTTAATGCAGATAACCCAATCATACACTACTGTAGCTCATTGTCACGCATTAGAGGAATGCTGTCTTGGAGGATAATTACTTAATTTGATTTATAATTAGTTTAACTATCTGAATAAAATGGACACAGGTCGGCTCTGTTGGCAAAGGTGTACTAGAAGAAGGTTGCCGCTTATTGAGCTGTGTGACTAGACAAAAGCAGGTGCCTAAATGAATGTACTTTTCTAAGAGTACTAACGGGACGTATTGCAATCGGTACCTCAAAGGTGCCAACGTTAACATATAGCACCTGTAAAAAATAAATTATGTCACTGAGTTGAGGCCGAAGCGAATGTTGAAGTTCAAAGTCCTAACGAAAGTTACCAGACATCGCATTAATCCTCATCAATTAACTCCTATGCGAAACACTCCATCTTCAGAAATTTTTATAGATGCATGATGTAGAATCCGATGGGTACCAAATGGGGGGCAAGAAGACGTATCTAGGATCCAATCTTGTACGTATGTAAAGTATTTATTGCTACGAAACTCATTTAAGCAACGCGAACATTTTCAAATACATTGGAGCTGTTGAAATGAGAAGCGTTTGTTACGCGCGAGTTGAGCTAAGATGGGACAAAACTGTTCCGTGATCTAAACAGGGTTTCCGTTATTTGTCCTCCATCAAGATTTTAAGAGTTCATCATTAATCTAGCAATCAGCTGCTTGTTGTATGATCCCATTCAATATCGCCTGTATTGTACCAAGAGCGCCAAACCACTAATACATTCATAATATTTTAGCAGCTTATTATGTTAGTATAATACGAAGTGCCTTATAAGCTCGACTTTGATGGCCTGTGAAAAATCGTTATATAGAACGAAATCATATATATAGCATATAGTATAACATAATAACGGTCAGGATATCAGGTGATAAATGCACAACTGGAAACGAACTCTGAAAAAATTAGGATGATAGTTATAAGCGTGATAACATGGAACCATTGTATGTTGAATCTCCTGGGCTCTCTGCCGAAGGTGCTCAATCCGAGAAAGTAAATTATATTTAAAACGACGTGGCTCCGACAGCTGGCAGTTTGTTTCGACGCACGATGAGAATTCTGAAGGAGTTAGGTTTTTTAAGAACTGTGCAGTGCATAATTTTGCAGAAAGACTTTCAGTGCAGAAGGTATTCAGGATTCGTCGCTAAATCCAAGGGTGCGCGCACTGACAAGTCTACCTATGGGCCCCTGAAATGGATCGCCCAGTCAAGCGTTATCATTCTCTAGCAATTCTAAATCAGAGCCAATTAAGCTAATTCCTCAAGATTCACTGATCCAAGTAGGCTACCCTGATCTCAGTCTCAGACCATTAGACATAGAAACGACAGCTTTTCATAAGGCGTATATACGAAAGTTAAAACAGATATGTAATGAAAGGCGTAATTTGGATTTAAAATTGTATCAACAAACAGTGAAAATAAACATGATAATCCTTGAAGGTTCCGGAAATCAGTAGAATATGGTAACATGGTACAATGTTAAAAATAATATAATATCTTGCGTAAAAGCTTTTGTTGGTTCCCAAGACATTTTGCGGACTCTTGTTATCCCGATTATGGTGTACTCTATACGTGAGCTATCTGAGTCGGTCTTACCGAAAGGGCAAAGGAACACTTTAAAAAATTCAGGGAACCAGGAGAAGAAACGGTTTGAACTTATGGTCAACCCACACTGTTTTATTTAAACGCTAGGAATCGCTAGAATGCGATAGGAAACGTGCCGTTCATACGTTGACAACAAAATATCATAATAATATATTCTGACACAAGCACGGCTTTTAGTCTAAGTATTTGTATATATGGTACCCGATAATATATCCAATGAAATATTTATAATTGTGACCCTGATACGACTTTGTTAAAAAGTGAAATAAATTACTTCAGTTTAGGACACTCTCACTTAAAGTTAAATAGGAAAATTAGTTCGCTTCCAAATTATGCTATGAAAAATATTGTTATTTTTAGTATGGACCCACAGTACGATAAGCGTCTAGAAGCAGCATTGGTCCAGAGGCGTTAAGAGAAAATAACGATACTTATAGATCATTTTAAGTAAAGTAGCCGATAAGTGAGCCCATGATTTTGAAATGTACTTTGGAACCCAAAGAGATGTCAGAAAAATAGCAGTAGATTTTATTGTTACACACGGATACAATTCCTGCAAACATTTAAAATATTGCCAACCTTTGAAGCTACGCGCCGTTCTTCAGTCAAAAGAACATACCCAATCAGATGAACGCATGAAAACACTGGACGTCTTTAACAATCATTTCGAAATTGTAAGTGAAGAAGGAAATATAAGTACCTAAAGTATTCAAGAATATCCATTATAGATAGTTGTGCGTTGTTGATTCCAAGGAGGAACTATGCTCGCTAATAAGTAATCGCAAACGTAAACAAATATTTGAAACCAGCAAATTCACATTACATGACCTCGAGCTCTTTAGCCATACTTGTGTTTTAGGTCTATGCTAGTTCAACATTTTTAATAGCTCTGTCAGTGTGCCAGATCTGTGTAAAGGATATGCAACAAGCGACTCATCCGTTTTCGCACTCGTCAGTATGCAAGTTGTGGAACTGATACGCTTATTTTTAGAGTGGAGGCACTAAGAGTAAGTGAAGTACAACGCTGACTGGAATATACTTATGCGACAATTCTGGACTTTCACCACTCGGATCTTTTTTTCTTAAAGATAAGTGTGTAAAAGCAATTGAAGCCACAGTCCAGCTATTCACAGTGCCAATCAAATGATCAGGCTACAGATAGACCCAATAAGTCTTGTTACGATTTAGATGATAGCATGTTACCCTCTTTATTTATAAGAAAACTTCAAAATATTTTAAAGAGGATAAAATACAAAGATTAAAAACGGTTAAACTTATAAATAAATGATGCGTTCAGAAATATAATATTCTGTTAAGCAAATTTATTCAACAATTCATGTTCACACATTTTGTAGATAAAAAGGTGGGTCCTTGATATCGATGGAGCCTGCGACAGCGTCCGTTGAACTGAACGGTGACAGGCTATTTCTGAAAACTCAGGGTCCAATCAAAGTCCTTCGTCTAAAAGTGAGTTTCAAAAACACCAAAAAACGTAGCTTCAGTGCTGATCACAGATGTTTAAACCTAATAAGTATCCAGAAAAGAGGTCTGAGATTAACTTCACATTTTTATTAAAGCGATATTTTTGAGGAAAAGGACCAGGAATGAAAAACAGGGAGATGAATAGGGGTACGCGTGCCACAAGTGTTTCTAAGTTTAACCATGGTGTTCCAGGTAAAACCAGAATTCCGCTTATACAAAGGATTTTGCCTTCTGACATTTGAAGAAAGCCAAGCCTTAACACCAAGTGGTCCTCGACCTCGATCCCTTAACCTAAAATGTCCATTCGAGGGAATTGTATCGAGGGTTCTCGTTTCTGCGGGGGCCGTCATCGAAAATGGGTGCGTATGACTTTTGGCCACAGCACACTAGTGTATTTGTATTTTGTATTCCCTAGCGTATTTGAGTGTGTGATCGTTCCTCTAATCATATGCGTACGTTTTATTATTACCGTCTTGCTTGCTGTTCTAGGTCAGTGTTATTGGAACTGAAACGATGTGCCCATCCGATCGTTATGAAAGACCTATGTGCAGAATGCGGTGCAGATCTCCGAGAGTGAGTTACTGTTATTTTTTATGTGACATATGTCATCTATTTGGAAATCTTTTGCCTTGAACAAACTCGTCGTCACACTATGGAGTGTTGTTATACTAGCCAATAGTGGGTGTTGTTTCCTCCCTATTGAAACGGAGTAGAAGATTATGGATCCTGATTAGATCCTGATGATAGAATGATGAGTTGATTATTATTCTCGCGTGCGACGTGGATTTTTCTATGTTCTAAGCTGCAACATTTAGCCTAACTATACACAATTAAGATCTGTTAGTCCGCTGCATCAATCAGTATCTATTGCCATGTACATATCTTACATTAAAAATATATAGGTTGGAAGCTGGCGAGGCAGGGGATGCGTCCGTTTCGATGATTCACGCTATTCCAGAGCTTCGAATTAACGAACAGCTTTCACAGTCAATTGGAAAGGTGAGTCTCATTCTACTCATGATCCCTGTAAGGATTACTATGTAGTATAAAGAAGCGAAGCAAAACAATGTTTCTCATAAAGAGCATGCTATATCATTTATGCCTGTAAAACCAACTGTAAAAGATCTAACCATTCAACTATTACTATTCCTTACCTTTAAGGCTGATGAACAACGCCTTTTAGGCCTGCGAAAACTTGTTCTTTTGGTAGACTTGGACCAAACGCTCGTTCATACGACAAGCGAAATGATCCATCCAAAGTTAAAGGGAGTTGAACATTTCACTTTACCGGGAAATCGACAGCTGTGGTATCACACGCGTATACGGCCCGGTACGGAGCGCTTCCTTGAAAAGGTAATATAAAAGCACTACTAATCGAAGCTTTAGCTCATTGTTTATAAAACTATAACAACAAAATTAGCCATGTCAGTAAAATGATATTGACCTGTTCCGTCATTTCAGATCTCTCGCCTCTTTGAATTGCACATTGTGACCTTTGGGGCGCGTCCTTACGCGCATCACATCGCGTCGCTTCTCGACAAACAAAAAAAATACTTTCAATTTCGAATATTGTCCCGCGACGAGTGCTTTCATCCGGCAAGTAAGACAGCCAATTTGCGTTCTTTGTTCCCCTGTGGCGATCAACTTGTTGCAATCATCGACGATCGGGAAGACGTCTGGAATTTTGCTGCGAACTTGGTGACCGTCAAACCTTACGTGTTTTTTCGAGGGGCTGGCGATATAAATGCCCCGATCGGTAAATAATTGCGAAGAGATGAAATATATATATCATTATTCGTATTCTTTTGACCGTCCTTGCAATGCTCTTATGTTTAAATCATCTATATTACGTTAATATAAATGTGTCAGCATGGCACAGTCATACCAAAGGCAATGTAGTAATTACAACACGATCACAAATACTTCTTGCAAGCACTTGCGTGAACATATTTTTCTTCCGAGATTTTTAACCCGCTTGCCACAATTGCCTAACCGTTCAGTGCAGTATATGTATTTCAGGAAGTGCAAACCTTTACTATTGTATAATTTCAGGTGGATTAGCTGAGTTCCATTCCCTTCCACCATCGGATGGCGGCAGTTGTAGCGCCTTCCTTAGCCCCCGAAATCCCGTCGTTATTCATTCTGATCGCGATGTGGTTGCCTGCTTGCGCGACCTTATAGAACATTCATGCGCGCAGGTAGGTGAAAGTATTCGTTTATTGTAACCTTTCCTATGTATCTAGTCTCTAGGTTGATTATAAAATCTGTTTGCCGTTCTGGTTTAATTAGTTGTTGATTGAATGTCTGATTCTTTGCATGAACTATTGTTGATTGGCTAGGTGGACGGGTTTGTAGAATATGATGATGCTGATGACTACTTATTGTACCTTGAAGATATCTTAACCACAATCCATCGCGCCTTTTTCGAGCTCTACGAGCAAATGCAAAGCCAGGTAATTAATTCATTATTCCAAAATAATGCCTAACTGTCACATCAGTAGCCTACATGCTTGATTGGAATTCACGCTTTTCCTATGATCCATATGCATTGACTGTGAAATGTCGTCAGAACAAGCGAAGTGTTGTATTTTGGTAACTGCCTTAGCTTTTCGTGACTTACAATGATTGTTGCTCGGTAAATTTGTTTCCTCCGCATTATGAACTGATATTTTTCCTAAGGTCAACATTTCGTAGAACTCGATATTATGCAAATAAACGTGACCACTAAGTGCCATACTGAGCTTTCTAATACATCATACCTTCGTGTGAATATTCGCCTATTCTGTGACAAATTTCTTAAGTGAGACCTAACAAATCGAATTTCTAGAATAAGCTTTAGCTAACAGATTGCCTTGAGATTGATTTTTGCGCAGCCGGGCAGCAGCGATAGTAACACTGCGAGCAGTCAAGTGGGAAACGGAAGCTCGGGAGCCGCAGGTCGGCCATCACGCATCCCCGACCTGAAGACGGTGATTCCATACGTTCGACAGAAAGTTCTTAAGGATGTTGTGCTGGTGTTTACTGGATGCCTGCCGACAAACCAACGACCTGAAGTGGCAAAAATATATCAAGTTGCCGTTGCTCTCGGTGCTCGTGTACACAAAGACCTCAGCAAAGAAGTTACCCACCTTGTGGCAGCCAGACCTGGAACAGCTAAGCTTGTACACGCACGCAAATTACGAAATATTAAGGTAAGAATATGCTAGCTTATAGCATACCTTATGATGACATGGTAAAAAGCCAAAATTATAGCTATCTAAAGTGTTATCTTTATTCAACCTGTAGAGATAACCGTAACCACCTACAAATAAAACAAGATAAAGATTCACTTAATCCCAAATTTCATCCGGGGCTAGCATTTTTGTTTGCTTATTGATACGTCATGTGCGATAACAGAAGCCATTCTTCTTGTGCGATAACAGAAACCATTCTTTTACCACTACTTTTACTGGTAAACTGGTTTTGTTTTGAGTGCAGGTTGTCGCAACGCAGTGGTTGTGGTGTTGTGCTGAGCGCTGGGAACATGTATCTGAAAAATTATTTCCTCTGAAAGATGCAGCGCCAGAAGAGCCACTGAGCGGCCGACGCCGGAATCGACTCGGACGACCTTTGGGACCTATTCTTAGTCCCGAAGAGAGACAACAGGTAAGACGTTTTGTTATGAACAGTCTGCATAATATTCTTTTAATGTCTCTTAGCTTATAGCATGCTATTGATACAATGTTTAATCGATGTATTATACTTCAACACACCACCAACACTAGCGTTTCAATACATCAACTTAAGATAACGTTGTCTTTTTAGTTTTGCTTGACAACGTACCGCGCGTTACTGTGAAGCCATGTAACCATTTTATTTAATTGAGTTTAATTTAAATATGGGTCTTTATCCTTCTACAGGTTGAGCAAGAGGCGCGAGAAATGTCCGAGCTGGACCGGCTCGCTGGTGAGCAACAGGCAGTGCTGCCTGAGTCATTCGTACCGTCTTTGGCTATTGGATTAGAGGGACTTGCCGAGATGGGTAAAGAGGTCGACGACGAGCTCGATGATGATGATGATGATGATGACGAAAATGTAGACGATGCAGATAGCAACAAGGTTTGTTCTGGAACATTTTCATTCCAATAATAAGTTTATTACCTTGGTATGGAAAATTATTGGTACTTTGTTTTTTGAAACATGTTGTGATTATTAATTACCAATATTAAACAATTATTAAAAAATATCTCAGCAGGATGAGGATTCACGGCTCGTTACTCCACCGGCAAAGCGACGAAGGCAACAACAGGACGAAAATGACGAAGAAGAAGAAGATGCTCTTTATGGCGGTACGTTCTATACTATTAATTATATTATATAAAGTTGCGTACGATATTCAAACAGGAAAAACAACTACTCTCATCAAAGAAACTCGTACTTGCTATATAGCTCTAGCCTAATTCTAATGGGTTGTCAGGTTCCGTTGAATTTTTTCAATTCTCTCAGTATTCTACAAATGCATGTTGGGATTTTCCTTCAAAGAACACCCCTTTGGCAAGTATTTGCAGTATATGCAATAGTTTCTGCGGACATACTTAGTTGGTTGTTCTACCTGGGTAATAAAGTTTTTCCTTTGTTTTTTGCTAAAATAGAAGATAATTCCGCACCACGTGGTTGGGCCGGCAAAGACGATGATGGAGGTATCGAAGAAGACTTCGGCGGCAGGCGAACACTCGACTGGCCCGATCACGAAAACGGAGTCGACTTTGGTGATGAGGAATGGGACTCGGACGGCGAAAGTGTTGGAGAGGTTGACGAAGAGATGGCTGCCGCCGTAGAAAGGGAACTTTTTTCCTAGTTACATGCAAACGCACTACTCCATCTAGCTACACAGTAAAATATAGTAGGCAAGTGCACCAGGAATTGCAATTATTGCTGTCATTTCGTTATCCCTCTTCCTTATCAACCACACTGTAAAATACCCATTGTTAGAATCTAGCGACGCATTATTCAGCATTGAGGCTTTTGATGACCTATGCTCGAGTGGTTAAGCCCTAAACCCTTTAATTTATATACATATGTGCAGCAAAGGAAGCGAATAGTCTAATTGTAAAGCGTAAGTTACCACAAATTAAAGACCTGTATATATTCAATTTTTACACGTATTTACATAAATACGAAATAGGACATTGTTCTATCTTTTTGGGGAAATTCACACTATTAATGGAAAAACGTGCTAGAATAGCCGTAGGTTATTGAGCAATAAAAGTATTTACTCGTTAGATACCTGTTTAACATGTGCTTTAACTGTTGCTAATCTCAACACATTTTTTTGTACACGATTAAGCTCAACTTGTAAGCTAAGCGTAGCCATTTTAAAGCCTCATTGGCAAGTAATTTAACTATTTACTAACCTAATAAGCTTATGTCGAAAGCAAGTGGCAAGTAATAAGCATGAAGTATAACACGAAGTAATTCGGTTCTATTTTTCCACCATTCATCTGGAGGGCAGATTGTGAGCGCTCTTTAGAGAAACCGATGCGCCTTAAGGTAAATGAACTATTTTTTGTAGCCGAACAATGCATGCTAGTGTATTTATGTAAAAATGTTGAATTTGCCCCACTTCGTTGTTGCTTTCAATATAAGGTCAAACTTCCTACTCCAAACAAGCAGGTACACACAGAAGATTATTTCTATTTGGTAAAGGTATGGAATAGTATACAAATACTTCAGGATTCAACCAGAGGTCGATAGACTGGCCAATAGGGATAGAATTTGTCGATGTAGACATTGAGATTACTCCTTAGTGCACAATCCTTGTGTTTTTATAGTTGTTTTTGTTCACAAAGCTATGCAGTAATGCAATAGAACATTGTAGTAAATGATAACTTCAACCGTTGGTCTATATACAGAGCGGTCAATGCCTTCAGAGAACACCAGAAGAGATGCGTCCAGCGAACTGCCATCAGTTACATAACGCTTTTATAGAACATATCAGTGATCCACCATACGGATAAGAGCATACTGAAAAGGCTATCCAAAAGTGCTAATTCTAGATAACCATGCCGCACGTCATGTATCTCTTTAACGGAGAAAAAACGAAACTTAGCAGAATGCGTTTTAATTTAGACATGTACTTAGTGCTGCGCGCTAACAATCTTAAAGGACTCGACGCCCGGATACTTGAGCAAATCACTTGATGAACAGTTTCTTTATAACGAAGCTCTTCTTATCAATAAATAAACCTTAAATACAAAACTGATGTTCAGCATGTTGAATGATGAATAATACAACCAATTTTATTCATTGAATGAAGCAAATCAAGTGTTCATGTTCAAAATGATATATCTTAATCTTATACGCATGCTGACGCGCAACTTTATTAATAACAAAATATCGATATTTTGAGATCTATGTCCAATGTTTATAACGTAGGACTGCATTTTTTCTACAATTTAAGTTAAAAACTCGATAGAATTTTCTTCGCATCAGTTATTTAGAGTATGCTTTTCTAAACCGAGGCGATCACGCATTACTTAGCGCGAAGATATTGACGATAAATGCAACATAATTGAAAACAGCTTTCTTCGACTTTATTATACACTCAACACTACAATATCATTGTGTTGTGATTAGGTTTATGAACAGATCTGGTATTGCTTATTCCAAAAGCGTGAGAAACTCCGCAGTATACCACACACACGCCCAGATATCAAGTGGTTCAGACTCGGGCTGTAATTAATAAATTCAACATAATATATTTCGCACTGCAGTAGGTTCAATCTTAAAATGTTCGTCTCGAAAGCATTTCAGGTTCACGCTCACTACCTAAGCCCTTGTTACTATTTTCGCCCCCTCTGATGAAGCTCAAGAAAGGCGCCAATTAAGCAAAGAAGACGACATTTCGAAATACTTCCTCGTCTCTCGGCTTCATTTTTCGATAAGACGGGTTACAACTTGCTTGTGAAAAATTGGCTTACTGAATAAGGCCAATTAAAAAACGGTATTTGTCAAAGAACGAAACCACGAAAACAAAAACGATATCCTGAAAACAGAAAAATTGCTGTTACTAAACGAAACAACTGTTGAAGGCGGCAGCACCATCGCTACACTGGCGCCCCCTGGACAGGTTTGTAAACAAACGGAGTCTCTAGCTGTTAAGAAATAATTTTTTCACCAATAATTGAAGAACATTTGTTGTGTGAGAATCGCCGAATTTCTTCAAACAACCGTGCGGGTAAGTTGGGCAAGAAATCTCAATTTTTCTCGTCAAATTTCAATACGGATTGCAACAGTTAAACGCCCGTAGCGGTCTCGGGGCCTTGCCTGCAATGGCGCCGATCGGAGCGCCCTGGTGAGGATTTCTCAGGAAAGCTTTTTGCTAGCAATAGCTTGGTGGTACGAGGCAGTCGAACGGTGACTTTTTGCAAAAATAACAACGACGCTGAGCGGTGTTCGATGAATAACCGGGGCAAGTTGAGCTGGGGGGCCAGGCCCAATCCTATCACCAGCTACGAATTGCTACGTGATCTATTGTTTGCTATCGGGAACTGGGTATTTGGCGGGCGTTTTCAATTGCTTCCAATGCCCCGGCAAGATCTACCGGTATACAGAATGCAACGAAAGACAGGCCCCTCGATCAATAGCCGTCGGCTTGGGTGGACTTGAATTTCGGCAATGAAGTTACCATTGCGGTAAAACTTACTTTAATCATGGTACGGAGGTCTTGCTAACAACAAACGTCTTCTTCCTTACTACAAGGATCGCTACTGTCGGATAGTAGTTGTCATTTGTTTCCCGTGAGATGACACCTAGTTGGGCGGGGGAAGAATAGAACGCAACACGTCGCTGTCAATTACCAAGCCGAAAATTAGGGCTTAAACTATAAGCTTGATTTTCGGCTAAGATTCAGACATGACCATGTATCGAAGTGTGTAATATCAAGTGAATAGTCTGAATGGGAATTCATAAAATCAATCCACTTTTGAAAATAGGAACGCCAGTTATCTTGCTATATTGCTTTAATTTCGGCTGAAATAAATACCACAGTGGGGTAAAATGCAGTGATTGTTCTGAGGGTCGTAGTAACGCCTATAACCAAATCAGTGATAGCTTGTTCGTACGCAAGTTCTCACCTGGATAACGTTATGCGCATTGGCTCTTAACTTATTTTGATAAGACATGAGATACATCGTCTCATACATGTGTATTAATGGCAGTAACTAGTAAAATGGACGAAAACAAACTTAAAGGAGTCGACAATCCAAGATTCCATATGGATAACCTCAAACCTTATCCGAAGCAATTTTCCTAGCTGACGTTCAACTGCTCATCTAGTGCGGTAGATCATAACTAGGTAACAAAGTTTTGCTCGGAATGAATTTTTATGTGACTTGCTGCTTCCGGATTCTATGTAGCCACGGATTTCTACGTTGCAAATTAATTGCATAGAAAAGTATCTGTAGAACTTCCGTGCAGCCGAGCTAAATTCCAGTAACTTGACAGTTTTGTCCTCCGTTCCTTTTCATTTGACTCTTTTTGTATTCAGTAAAAATAGGATTTTAAAGCTAGTGTTTTGAAGTAGTCTTAATATATAATGAACATTTTGAGTGTGTCACGTTATATGAAGGCCCAATACATGCTAACGACGAACCTTCGACAACGTGAACCTTCATTGTTTCAAACATCAAGGTTAATTAATGAACCATATGAGACTGACAACTCGATTCATATACTTCGTAATAATTTGCAAGCTGAGGTTAACAACAATAGGTCCAAAAGTGACCTTAGGTTTTACGTTTATGCTGGCTTATTTAACCTTCCGACGTTAAAGACAAGTACTATTAAGCAGATAACAGAAGAAATAACAGTTGTAAAGTATAAGATGTGAATAATTGTTCAAATTTACTAAAGCGAGTTACCTAGCCATCACGAGCACGTATTTCCAAAAAATGAAAGACTGAAGATGATAGGCCCTTGAATTTGCTCCAAGAGCCTTGAAAATGATGAATGGAAAACGTGCCGCAGTTGATAAGAAAATTGATTAGTATGAAAGCGGCTTGAACCTAATTCGCGTGGTGTGGCAAGTGCCAGGGTAAATGCCCTTAACAATTGCTCTTTATTTCCTTTAGTGAGCTGACTATTCTGGAAACCTCTATCTAGTTCAGGTTAGTACAGGATGACTAATCAGTAGGGTAAGCGATTTTTTGTTGTGCAGGTTAGTTAAGCCAAATAGATCACAATTGCTATTCTCAGACTTTTACAAAATCTATCAGAGATTATGTTGGTCGCTCTTCATATATTTATATTAAACTGTTCCTTATTGCAGCCTGCTAATTGTTAAACCCAGTATGCCACCGAAAAAACGTAAAACCGCTGGAGGTTAGTATTGAATTTATTAATTCTGCTTCCTTGAACCTTATAATAAACTATGAAATGGCTTTGTAACTGTCAATGCTCAGAATTATTTTCTGTTAACGCTAATTATGATAAAAGGCGAGTTGAATATATAAATTATTCAATAATTACAAGGTGTTTAGCTTGAAAGAGTACAAAATTCCGCACAAGTTTTACTTCAATGCAATCGGGGGTATTGTTCGACAAAAATCACCGCTTCTATCTTTCGATATTACTGTGTTATATAGATTTATTCAAGTGTGGTGGATGTCAACGGAACTATCATGAACTGGACGAGTTCATCGCACATAAAAAGGAATGCGATGCAGAGCAGGACGCAGAAGAAAGCGAGAATACCGCCGAGGAAGCTGACCAATCGCCTAAAGGTGTGTCGTTTTTACGTTTTTATAAGTCACATACTAAATCATAGTCACTATGTTGGATATGAATAATTCATTTGTTGGCAGGTTGTGATTAATAAACAAATAGCAGTACTAGTGATATGTGGATATCTTACATTCAGTTGTTCTGCGAATTTTTGTGCAATTAAGCGTGTACATGCTAAAGGCATTCAAAAGCTTCCAATTTGTGTTTAAGCTGGGGTTCACCTCGTCGCATCATCAGCTTGATATTTACATATAAGTCCTCGTGTTCCGTAGACACTCTAGAGGCATCGAAACCATTAAAATGTGATCCTTTGATTTACATTTACATCAATAGAGCCACCAAAGAAGCGTGGCCGACCCTCAAAAGCTGAATTAGCGGAAAGGGAACGTCGTCGTGAGGAAGAACGTCGTGAGGCAGAAGCTCTTGGCGGCTGTAACAAATGCGACGGATGTACTCGACAGGAAGGTAAATACTTATCTATCTCGTTCCAAGCACAATATTTTATAAAAAAAGAAATATATATATAAAAAAAAGTATGTATTGGTATCGAAAGTGAGTTCTATTTGTTAGGCTCGATTTGTCCAACGTTTAGTGCAGTGTACTTGTGGTGAACATGGCCAGTACTTTTACATTTACACGGCTATTATAGTGCGGAAGGTAATTTGTTGAATAACTCCCTAGCGCTGAATTATGTATTAATAACGACTTTATAGCCAGCTATATATATAGTAGTAAACTGGAAGCTAGTCATTAGACTTTATTATCAAATGACCTGATGTCAACTTATGAACCTCTTAATGCTATAACAATTGTAAATTTTGTGTGAGATTGCCTGGTCGTAGAAATCACTCGTAAAGTTGTTTGTCGATTATATATCAATTACTAAGTGCAACCTATAATACGCCTACTTTCCTCCGTTTTGGATTGCGTTCTTTTCAGATTGCGGGCGATGCGTACCTTGTCAGAGCCGACAAGGTCGCATTAGCTCAGCGAGCGCCTCGTCGTCCTTAACGTCTGCTTCGAACACTGCAGGTGCAAAAGTGGCTACTTTTGCAGGAGGCGGAGGTGGCAGCAGCGAGAATGAGATGTGCATTATGCGTAAATGCGAGATGCTCACAGATGATTCCGATGTGTTCAAGGTGTGTGCGAATGGCAACTCAAGCCGAATTGACTGAGAAAAGAAAAACGAGAATAATTGTTTTGAAATTAAGTTAAAATGATAGGTTCCGGATTAAAATGTACTACGTAAAAATTTAAAGGATTATTGACAGGTGAACGTGGCGCTTGCCGTAAGTAATTTCAAATGTGTAACATAGCATTTTTCTTGTCATGACATTCTTTTGTACCATGACCACACAGGCTATTGGTGACCTGAGCCTTCCAGCAATTGGAGAGGATGGCGGGAGCTCACGACCTCGAAAGCAACGCCAAAGTAAAGCAGGTAAGTGTAAGCAATTAATAAAAAAATATTATTAATAAAAATGAATTTAATGCACGTAGTGGCACTTACTATTAGTGATACAGAAAATTGAGAGACCGCCAGGCTTATATAATATAGATAAAGCGTTGCTTAGACTGCAAACATTGTTAACTTGCGTAATTATATCTAGCATTCTCTTGTAGATACGAAAAAGTTACAGTTATTTTGCATGTTTCGATTTCAGCGTGTACTGACTTCTTGAAACGTCTTTCTGGATCTATACGTTCTGGACCCGTCATTCCAGCAGGTTCTGCGGCGATTACAATTACCAGCCCAGCCACAATTTCTGCAGGAGCAAAAGAGGCATCTCATCAAGATAAAGAAGTTTCTGAAACCCCCGGCACAACGAGCAAGCGTGTAGTGCCATCCATACTTCAGAGAAAAGTCAGTTAGCTTTATCGCAAACTGTATGATGTGCGTCTGCGGAATAAATAATCGATTTACACTGCTGTTTTAGTGAATCTTTACTTCTTGATATCTGTACTTAGCAATAGCAATCAGAAGGAAGTGTTATACAGTAAAAGTAGAAGTAGTAATTTAGCCGTTGACAACGGCAGCATTCTTCCAGCCAAATCGGTTTTTTAATTGGAATATTATTAAGTATGCTGACACCTTTGCTTAACTCCTTAGTGTTTTTTTTGTTCGGGCATAGAAAATGTGTAAAGATTTTTCTTGCTGGGCGTGCACTAACGAGTTACTGATGCATGATTTAGAAGCGACCGGTAGCAGCTTCAAGCAATACGACGCCGGTTGCTGCTATTGTCAGTCCCTCCACTACATCTGCGTCATCGAATGTTACAACTCTGACAAAAGGCTCAGCAGCTCAGGTTTCAGCCGGAGTCCAGGGCGCGAAGTTCATAACCACCGGACCAGTCGCAGGAATTAGCCCGTCAGCATTTTCCGCGGTCGTTGAAAGCGGACAACAGGTCAGTGAGAAAAACTTTGTTTTGATAATCGTACGCACTTATTCAATATTCCCAACAGTTTTTCCTACATTACATGATATTACATAATCGGTTACTCACAAAAATCTTATGATCTGTGACCTTAAGCTATTTTGTACTAATTGGAGTTCTATACTTAGATAGAGCATCGCAGACAAATGCGAGCAAATTGACCGCTCTTCGGCTCTGTTTAGTTGAATGTCGTTTCAAATGGTTTTTTTTTAGAAACTTCCAAATAGAAATCAGATTATAAAGAAGTATTTATTTAGACTCGAAGGATAGCTTAACTTTTAACTTCCGAACAAGTGGGTCAAGCCCAGGTGTTTCTTTATTATTCGACGATTTAGTTGCCGGCAAGTTGCAGTGTTATAGTTACTGTGTGCTTTAGCTAAATATAAAGAGTAATCACCACACAATGTTGTACGTTTTTTTTAGGTGCTGATTGTAAACAGCGATCAGTTGTCACTTCTGCAAAACTCACAGGGAATCGTGGTGATGCAGAGTGCTGATCCAAAAACTCTTCAGGTAAATTTTCCAAGACGTGTTACTATTTATCTTCAATCATGCTCGTTCATTTTCGTAAAGGCGTTATAACTGTCACAGTTCTCCATTTGGCAGCAATTCTAAAATAATACCGTCACGGGCTATTGATGTTGAAGCTACTATAGGAATGCATAAATTGCATTCCCGACAATTCTTGCATTCCAATTAAATCTCATCGGCGACCATTTCTTTAATTATCGACTTGAATCCATCGTAGGTGGAAGTCGTTCGTCTGAATGAAGAAAATGGCGCTGCTGGATCGCTTCGAGCTGTCGGCCAGAAGGCCATTAAGCGGGAGGTAAGTTGTTTGTGAATGTATTTGTCTTGACAGGTATTCTATTGTATGCGAGTTAGTTCTTACTAATTAACTTACGTCAAAATTACGTTTCAGACAGTTGAAGAGGTAGCACCCACAGCCGGTGCTGGAGCAAGCACCGAGTCGGAGAACGCAGAGGACGAAGAGTATGATCCAACGCGAGTTCGAGCTCACATCATCCGAGGACCAGCTGCTTTCGGTAAGAGAGCGGCATACGATCATTTTTATCTGGCTATATATGTGTGTGTTTGCATCTAAGTGACAGAAATGAGTCCCATATATGGCTAGACTTGGCAGAGCCCTAAGGGGTTGCTGTTGTAACTGTTTTAGTTGGCATCTCAGCGCTGGTTGCTAAGTGAAGAGAACCGCACAAATATATCGTCTTTGTCTTTGTGTTCGATATACTTCAAATTAGCTCGCAAACGGGTTGTTCCTGTACCACCACAACCTCCGTTGAACAAAAGCGCAAGCGCCTTTGAATTCCTTACTCCGGAGCAGCGCCGCCTGTTGGTCTGTAAAAAGAGCCGCTCGAAATTGATGTCAGCTCCGCGACAGCGCAAAAGTCGTTTGTTCGTTGTAGCCGATGACGGCGTGACAATTGAGATAACCGGCGCAGCGCTGTCTGACCGCAATAAGGCCGTTGAAAGGGCTGACGAAAAGATGCCGTACGTACGCGAGAAGATGGCGATTATGCAGAATCAGGCTCAGGGCAACGCAGCAGGACATGGCCAGAATGGACCCCATGCAGCCAGCGGCGTCTCCACTCACATTCAAATGAACACAGTCCTTTCTCATCAACAGCCGCAGGTATGAGTATAGAGAAGTTCAGAACCGTACGGGAGTTACTCCCCTTTCTAAATATTGTACAAGGTTTCTGTTTGGAGCCTCCGTAACTTTTTTAGTCACTATACTATAATACCGAAGAACCCGTAGTTTATGTAAGGAGGAGAGATTGGGGACCTAGATGAGCTTGCTTCACGACCGGGGTATTAATTAAGCGTACAAAGTTTAAACCTACAACTCAAGCTCGCCGAAGGATGTAGTCAACCAATAGCGTATATCGAGGATATCGCATTGATCTTTGAATCTCTTGTTACCTTCGTTTTGTATTCCCGTATATACTATTCCGGAGCATTGATAAGGAAACAACAACAACAATGAAAAGGGCTGAATGCATTTTCTTATATTTACCTTATTTGATTATTGGGTCAAACGTGCAACATTAGAACTATTTGTGGGTATTTGGTTTCCTTCTTAACACACGGCATGATGCTTACAATTTAATACTACATTTTTTCCCAAAGAAATTAATATGTCCGAAGATGAGACAGTCAAAAGCGGTTGTAAGATATAAAGCATAAGTTCGAATGCGATGACATTTGGCCTGTAATGCACAGAAGTTTGGTACTTTATCGATCTTTTTAATACATATACTATCGTTGTTATTACTAATATCGTTGCCTCCTTTCTCGAAAGTGCGTGAACGTAGATGTGCTGCAAACTGTATCATAAATACACATGAGCTGCGTTTGATATTGGAACATAATTTAATTTGTAAAATTGCATACAGTTACTCACACTATAGTTCATGAATTACCCATCTATAGATTCTATTTCTGCGGGCATACTTCATTACTGTAACTACCCACCGTCATTATCATCATCTAGATCAAAATCCGGAAATCTTTGCAGAAGCCCAAAGAAAGCTGGTTGAGAACTATCTGCAGTCATTTGATACAGTATCCGCAAGAAGATTAATTCCATATTGTGTGACTCTTGACTCTCCTCTTGATAACCTAATTGCTAACGTGAAGCCGTAAACCAGCTAGAGGTCTTGTCAAATGCGTCATTGTCTTGTACAATTGTAGAAGTAAGTATTCATGTAAGTTGTTGTATGAATGTATTTTATATAGCTCTAATAAATTGTATAATGTCAACTGTTTTTTTTTTAGTTAATGGATACTGACGAGGACGTGCAGCAGTCACAAATACAAACAGCAAAACAGCTTGCAGCTCACGCCTTGAAAAAGGATCCACTGGTGCATCTTGGTGCCCTTAAACAGAAAGGTGACTTGATTTTTGCTGAAGTCTAGGCTTCAGCCCATAGTCTGATAGAATTATACGAGTAAATTTTATATTGCTATGGCATTTATTAAGTAAAATAATTGTGGTAGTAGAATCAGTTAGCTTTTATACGATGGCAGTCTTGGCTGGCGTAACTATGCTAATTGCGTGACTGGTATTTGTAATAAATCATATTTCTACTGTATTGCGGTGTTTCGGCTTCTTGTGCAGAAATCCACGGTTTTGATTTGGTTATGCAGAACATTTTACTTATTATTTGTTATTTTTATATTCCGTAACCTAGCCCAAGCAGCACCAGCCTCTGCCGGTGCAAGTGCAACAATCTCTTTGGAAGACTGTACGGCCGATTTTGCTGACATGAACTCGATGCAAAAACTACCCAATCAAGTGCAGCTAGTGGAAAGTGACCTGCCTCTTTCAGAAGCAGAAAACGTCGAAGGATTGTTTGGAAACTATCTATTCAGGTACTACACAATTTTATTACTAAACCATTTTTATCACCCCTCGCTTTCAATACTATATAATACTTTTTTTCATTAAGCACCATAGCTTATTTAACAAGTACGTGAAACAACGTCCCCTAAGCGGAATTTTATGTAAGGTTTCCAAATTTCTATTTTCTTCGTTTTATATATCAGGCAAATGCATTCGTCTCAGGATCAGCTGCGATGTTTATTCTGCCGAGACAAGTTCACTTTTAAATTTCTGGTTGATTTGGAGAAGCACTATCACGTTATACACGAAGTGCAGACCATAGCTACAAAAGCTGAGTTCTCCGATTCAGCCGTGTTCATTTGTCTGCCCGACGACGTGACTGAAGAAACACTTCTGAAGTCGGCTTGTCAGTAAGTGCCCGTAAACCGAACTTATTGATATTGTTGCGCAAATGATAATAACGTTTTCGCCTGAGATTGCCTAGGAAATGCACAAAATTTACAGACATATTTAATAATTAATAATTATGAGTTCATTCTGGTTTCTGACTTAAAAACCGTTTCAGAATCGGTGTTTCAATGAATATAGCTAGTAATTATCTCAATGATGATTTGTTTTACACATTCGACTTATATTTATGCAGAATACGGAGTGAATAATGCTAATATCCGTCAATAACGGTAGTTATTAGCTTTCAAGAGGCGTCGGCGTATGTTATCGTATGAAAAGCCTTGTTATATGAAGTTCACAAGAGCGACAGGAAGTCGAATAACTATATTATCTGTACCATTCGCTTACATTGTGTTATAGGTTCTGTAACGCTACGTTGAGGACACTAGCCGAAGTGCGAGACCACTACACGCAAATGCATGAACGGTCGATACGGCATGTGTACGAAGGCCAGTTAGCAAATTTATCTAGTTCGTTTTACTGTGGCGCTTGCAATTTTGCTTCTCCTACATTCGAAGTGCATCATGAACACATGAAAGCAGCTCACTTGCGTATGACCTTTGTCTGCAAGTATTGCAACTACTGTACGCCTAGGCCGGGCAGGCTGAAGGCGCATGTGAAGCAGCGTCACCTTGACGGACAGCCAGGACCCCATCTTCAGTGCACCGTATGTTCGGTGTACGTGCACGGCCGGGAGCGTTTAACTAAACATGTGTTACTGTCTCATGCTGTACAGACGGGTCCGGCAATCTGGTCGTGTGCGAAATGTCTCGAACCTACGTCAAGTCACGATGAGCTTCTTGCCCACATTGCCAAATGTCCCGATCTCGTTCAGAGAAAAACGTCCGAGCCGATCAAAAGGCCTAGCGGGCCAGAAGCAGGTGCCACCAGCTTCAAGTGTTTCCACTGCGAGCAGACTTTTACTGACAAAGAGGAGGTGGAACGGCATATTCTTGAAGACAAATGTAGGTATACCTTTCAACCCTCAGTTAATATTTACGTACTGCTTAGATTGGTTGGATTTATTGATCTACTTATATATATTTTTTGTTTGTAGGTTCTCCTGAATTTGGTGACCATGACGCAGAGGGACTTGATGAGAGCGCAACCACGTGTTTCCTATGCAACGTGACATTCAAGAATGCTGAGCTTACTGCTCAACATTTGCATCACGTACACATGAAATGGGTTAAGAGAACTGTACGGTCAGCAGATCAAATGCCCGAAGTCACTAGTCAGGTTAGCTATTTTTCAGTTAGGTTTTGTACACTCGGTCTTTTAATCTACGTACACATGCACGTATATATGATCATGAGTAATCGCACGTTCTTGTTTAGGTGTGTCCTCTAAATGATGCTACGGAGATCATCATGGATCCTAGTGCCATGTTGGATAGGAACGAGGTGCCTTCGGAGGCACGCCTCAACCAGATGGGCTTTCCTAGCAAGGTCGGCCATTACTGCCATCTCTGCGATGTGGTTATCAAAAATTATACTCTGTTCTACTTGCACATGCATAATCTGCATGGCATGCAAAAACGATTCATCTGCGTCGTTACCAGTTGCTCCAATACATTTGAGGAAAGCGCTGCCTTTCAGGTTCATGTTAGACTACACAACCAACGGTGAGTAGGCGTTATTTATCAGTAATAGGAGTTGGTAAACATATTGTAACATGTTGTAAATTTAACTTATTGTAAAGGGCGTAATGCGAAGTGACGACTTTTTTAGGTAGAGAAAAGCACCCTCAACAGAGTGATGGTTTGTTGCAGTAGACTTGTACATAACGCAGAGAAAGCTTCCTATCCCTTCCTCATTTTTTAACATCACCTAAGTTTTTATCGATGTCCTTGCTGTCATACACAGAGGTGAGCATTTCTGTGCGATGTGTGACATGATCTTCGATTCTGGCGAAGACCTGCAAGAGCACTTCGTGAGCCCGCAGCATGCCACACAGCATATGAGAGTTCAGGACAAGCATAATCGCTCGGAGCCTCGGAATTACCGATGCCGAGTCTGTCACACGTGGCATGGTCTGCTATCAACATTCGTGCGCCATATGGAAACCGAAAGTCACCAGTATCAATGTCAACATTGCGGACAACTGTTTGTGCAGCCAGCGCCTCGGCGCAACCACATTCAGAATGCGCATCCAGAAATGGCAAACATTTGTGAAATCTGCGGTGCAAAGGCAACCTCGGCCCAAGCACTATGGTCACACCTCTCGCAGCATAGTGTCGTGCACGAGTGCGCCAAATGTCACCGGCGGTTTCTACAGAAGGAACAGCTTATGGCGCACATGGAAATCCACGCCCCGCCTACACCTTGTCCATGGGAGGGCTGCAATCGACGTCTTAGTACAAAGGTATACAAAGTATAGAGGACACTTCATTATGTAGATAATTTGGTTAAATTGCTGTTAATGACTTAATTTCGCTTACAGGTGGGCTTGTATAATCACCTACGCCTGCATCGGGGTGAATGTGACTTCAAGTGCCAGATTTGTGATCGGGGCTTCTTTAAGAAGAAGTCTCTCGATATTCATCTCAAAAGTCATGAGAATGCAGCTGCTGGAACACCCGTAGGGGGAGTCTCACTGTTAGGATCTCGGGGAGGTTTACTCAAACCGCGTCCTGGCGGGAGTGCAGGCGCTCCAGAAGTCCGTCTTATTTGCTCAGGTTGCTTAAAGGGCTTCGATTCCGAGGCCGAATTTGGGACTCACGATTGCAATTCGACAGCCGGTCAAGGACCAGAGCAAATATTTGTGGATGCCAATGGTCAGCCAATTTTACCTCTTCCTAGCGGTCATCATGGCGCTAAGTAAGTAACCTCAGGTTTATTTAATCAGTTCCGCAATATCCTTAAGTTCTCTGATCTAGTGCTTTGTTAGTGTAGGGTATGTTAAGGCAAGAGGACTTTCGGATGGTAACAACCTCGACTTGTTTAAAGCGTTCATTGGTTCAAATGTTTCAGTGGTGAGGATAATATGTACCTGTCTGAAGGCGGCATTGCGCTGTTAAACGCTTCTGGCCAAGAGGGCGTTGTTTCGATTCGAAAGGATCTCAACAGAGGCGTAGCAATCATGACACTACAAGAAGCAGGAACATTGTTCAGCCTTGAAGTCGAAGGAGGTAGAGAAGGTACGTCCTAAAACTTTGCAGGCTTATATTGCATCGATAATTTTTACCAGGTCGAAACCTAAGCAATTTGGCTTTTTATCTAATCGGAAACGTAGCACTTCACATAAATTTTAGCAGAAAATTAATACGTATTCACCACTACGTTTCGATGATTTCTTCCATCTGGTAACCAATCTATTTTTTCGTTCTCGCTAGAGATGTTCAAAATGGTGTTGAAAAATTCGTCCAGTTAGGTTTTGAAATGCCCTTCATTGTCGAATGTTCAGTGACTCATTTATTTGATAATGATGGAAAATAATGATAATCCATCGAAGCAAGATGTTGAAAATATGATGAATGCAAACGTAGCACTTTTAAGCTTTTGTAAAGCTGCTTTCACAATCTCTGCAATGTGCGGTTTGGCGTTGTTGTAGACTAGGATGACTTTGCCTCGTCTGTCGAGTCTTTTCTGTTCGATACGCTCGTTCACTCTGGATGCATCTCATACAGATCTGTCTCGTTCTTCTCAAATATTTTTTACTGTTTAAGCAACACTCACACCAAACGCAAACAATCGTCTTTTCGGGATGAAATCTCGATTATCGGCTTATACGTACATACCAAAGCTCCCGTTTATTTGCTTTATATTGACGTGGAGGTACCACTTCTGGTAGCCAGGTACAATTATGTGTAGAAACCTATGTTAGTAGTTGCCAACGAAATGTTGAGAGTCAGTGAAAAATCTTTTGCCTTTCTGATGTTCATTTAGTTCATGAACATTTAGGATCCTAATTTTATCAAATCCGGCAGATCTATGGCGTCTATCACTAGCCGTATGACTGCAGTACACCTTCTCACCTAGTTCTCGAATTGTTTGTCGGCTATCTTCTTTCAGAAGTGTCTTCAATCAGTGTTTATAAACCTTACATGGCTGACCCAGACCGGGGCACACCCTCCAGTTTGATGATACCATTTTTGATATTCGTAAATCAGTTTTAGAGTTAGAACTGTTCCGTGCTACTCCAGCAGCTATTTGACATTGGCAAAAGGCGAAATAGAGTAGGTGGCGAGACTGCACTTTTCTTTACCCCTGAATTTCATCTTAGGAGCTTGAGCCTGCCATAAAATTCCAATCCTTGCACAATAACAATTTCAATGGTTCTACATAGAAGAAATAGAAGTAGAGAGAGAAAGGAAAAATGTAAAAATAAACCAACGGCACTTTTGTTCCAGTCTAACATTATATTAAAGGTGTAGCGAACCTTTGCTGTATTTTTTGTGGCTCGTAATTTAAAGTAGAGACTAACACTTGTCGCTCAACAGAGGTTAGAGAAAGATAGGCCTACCGTAAACTGTAAAATTGTCGTCCAATTGTAAAGAACGATTTAGTAGGGAGCCACATGCAGTTAATCGAACGAACAATATAATACGCAATATTGTCAATGATGTTGGGTAGTACTCATGGCCTAATAACTTTTTAGGCATTCACGAAATCGATGAGAACATAGCCGTTCAGCTGTTACGGGCGGCCGCTGGTGACGATGTAACCCATCTGCAGGTGGAAGACAAAGGCCGAACGACGCAGTACAAAATTCTCAAATACCATGAACAACAGATTGAAGATGACGGGGAGGCTACAGCGATGGGCGCAGAAGCCGACGAAAGCGAAGGGCACGTCGCTACAATGGAGTCTGGCGTCGAAGGCGAGCCCCTAGTGGGTAAACCGAATGAGGACGTACACCACCACCTTGTTGAGCAAACAGCCGATACCTGCGAAAAGGTAATTAAAGTACAACTAATTAATGGTTTACAGTATGGACTAACCTAGTAAAAAGTACTGATCGTTGTTTGGCCAGTTTAGGCAAGAATATGAGAAAAAACTGGCTGAATACCAATATTTGGGGATGAAATTGTCTAATGAGCACGACTTTTTGGGTTTACGAAACCTGTTGTTCAATTCGTATTTCTAGGAGCATCTATAAACAGGAGGCTTAACCTATTTACTCCCAATAATATAATATTAAAGCTCGTGGTATCTATGGCATCAACTGCTTTTTCATTGTGAAAAATGGCGCCACTAAACAACAACACCGTATGCCTCTACCCTGCTTAAGCTCCACTACCATAAAAAGTACACATAGTGTGAAGCGTACAATCGTAACAGTGCGGTAGTGATCAATAAGACACTACCGCAATTTGCGATCACTGGCTTCATCCCCAAAAGATCGTGGATATTACTACCACAGTAGCTGAAGAAGACTATTTCGAGTTCTATTTCGAGTTACTGCCTCAGAAATGACTTACATCAAAAGGCTTCATTCTCGATCGGACCTTTCAAGCAATATTATTGGCGGTACTTAGTTACCATAGGAAAAACACAATTGAGAGCTATATAAAAAAAATTTTTAGAATCAGTAGAAACTTTCCACAACAAGAACAACAGTAACACAACACCCGCGTGGCAGTCAACTGTTACTGGCCGAGAAAAAGGAGAGGAATAGATGTTTCTTCTCTCTGCCCCCGCAGAGAGCTGAGGCATCGACATGCAGCCTTAGAACAAAACTTGGAAGTAAAACACCAGCTTGTGTTCACGCATCATGGCGTCAATACCTTAAGCAAAAAAGGGCTCTCCATTCAACCGCCGTTGGTTTTTCAAAAACAATTAAAGACCAAAACAAGTTATATTTTAGAGATTTCTGAGAATGCGCTTACAACTCAGTCTGTTTGTTCTAGATTTACCTAAAGTAGAATGGCGTAAGGAAAGTAATTACTAGTATGTAACTTGCTTCCTGTAAATGCATAGCTAATGTATATTCGTAATGATTACAGATCGTAATGTCGGATGTGACAGAAGCCCACGGAGCTATTGAAGCATCTGCTGTCGCTGGAACCCAGCTTGAAGACTCCGGCGCCACTATGATGGAGCAGCTAGGAACGGTAGCAGAACCGGGCGGTGTTTCCAAAGACCGAACTCAGACGGAGATGATCCTTGAAGAGCCTGAAGACGGTACACAGGACGCCTCCCAAGGCCAACAACAGCATCAAGGTGAATAGCTAAATTAAGTAGAGTATGGCAGAGAGAGAGGATGACGTTATGTGCATAGCTTCTGTATCACTACACGTTCAATATTTGTATATATTTGAATTTTTGAAGAACAACTATTTGTAAATACAGCTAGAATATTTTCAGCAGTAGTTTCCAACCTATGTTAACCTAACGCAAATGAAAGGAAAAGGCTACTCCTCTAATGAGAAATAAAAACATCGAAATATAGGCGGTACATTCTGTCTTCAAGGGACCGAATACACTTAATGTCTTAAAATACATAGTTTACTGGTCTAAAAATACTGTCTTAAGAAATCCGAGCGCTTTGACATTAGCTTTATGTGGTACTTTTTACAATGTGGCAGCAGAATGGCCGCCATCGTAAGTCGAGTTTTTAGTTCTGGAAGAACGATGGCGTTAGATTTTGGTGTCTGTATATGTCTCCATGAAATTAAAATGGTTTTGCGGGTGTAACGCACGCCGTTGTTCAATGGGAATCAGTCATTTAAAGTAGTCATCAATAGCAGTGCCGGACGTGGCATTTATTTGAATATGCAATAGCTAGTATAGAGCGGTTGCGCAACTCTTATTTTCTGTGTTTTAGAAAAAAACATAATAATTGCGTGATTTATATTTAAAACATAATTAGGTGGAGTGTTTGACTGCGGCTGTACATCCTGTCAAAAAATAACTCAGGTGTTCCAAGGCCAGCTTTGCAAAAACAGAAATCTCACATAGAACGAAAGAGCAAATGCTGGCTTGACTTTAGCTTTCACTACAAGTATAGACCGCGAAAGCGAGGTTCCAGGACCTTTTTTTTTAGGAATTATAAGCAAGAGGTGTCAATTATCACAGAGATAACTGGCTTGTGGCGACCAAGCGTTCATTGCAATGTCGCTTTTTGATCCTTCGGTGTCGGCTCTTCCTATCATTGCGAAACAGATTTCGCCCAGTGTTGGGTTGTTTATTCACCAATGGGAAATGTGAGGTGGGTTCAAATCGTCGTGAGACAGGTTAGTCTTACCCAACTGTTCGTAATTGTTACGGTGATGTTGATTCTGCTTAGTATGAGAGGCACAATAGGTTTAGAGAATTGGTTTTATGTTTGACTGAAAAATCAGAGGTACTAAACTACCATCGAGTGGATTATGACCCCGCGAATTTAAGAATAGTCATATCATAATAAATACCACAGTTTTCCTTCCAACTTTCTTGTCGGCGCTTATTTTTATTCCTAACACCGGATTAATATTGTTCCCATGCACGTCTGCAAAGTGGGTACTAAGTGAATAACTTCAACGACGAAACGGAGTCACCCCGTACATAGTATTACGTTTGTCTATCTTTCGGGCGTTTCGTAGCTATTCTGTTATCTAGTTCGGCGAAGGTCTACTATAAACCTTACTATGGTTTCTTGCAGCTCAAAACGCCGACCAATGCTTCGACCAGGTTCTTCTTATCGACTTGATCAAACACCTTTTTCTGTATCCATGAAGCTATACATCCGGGGGAATCTGTTGGTTATTGATCCACTCAGAGTGTCCGGCCGAAGCTCTGAGCTCGGCCGGACACTCTGAGTGGAATAGAATGTTGAGTTCTGCCACTCATATCCCATTTATGCGAATGTAAAAACTTCCTTAAGTAGTCTAGTGATCACAGCTATCGATCATCATCATATGTCAGTTTTTAAGTAATCCGCTCCTGTTACTTTTTCCCCATGATATCTTTTTAATAGGACTTAGAATGTGCTTGTTACAGGGTTCGTTAGACCAGCTTTGAGTGTTCTCTTCTCTAAATTCTGTAGGAATATTCTGTGGTTCCTCTTGTTAATTTATACGCAAAAGTGATTCCAAATGACGAATGAATACCTGAAGTACTATCGCAGAAGTCGATTTGCCGTTGTTTAGTAGCACCAACCACGTAAAATTTGGAAAAAGATATGTTAGTTAGCATTTCTTAATTATTAACTAATTTCGAGTAATACTATTGCAGATGTTACCGATGCTGGTGGAGTTGGAGGAGGTCAAACGATGGTCGTTATGATTAATGAGCAAGCCTATCATATTGCCATTCCTGAAGGCGTTGATCCCCAGAGCTTCGCGAGCAGTACCCTTGTTAAGGTTAGTAGAAATGCGAGCTATACTCTAAATATGGTTACTTAACGAAGATGAAAAATTGTTGGCCTATTACATTTTATTTCCTCGCTTATTCCAAATGCCGTTTTGCCAGCACGCTTTTTTAGTCAGTAAATTCAGGGTCGGTGAAAACAAATAAAGACTGACATCGGCCAGTAATAGATTTTTTGTGTACCTTTATATCATCTTATTCATCATATGATTAAAAAAGTAAGTTCGGAAGGTAATATCATTGTCTAAATGCATCTATTTGTACGTGTTGGCACTTCGTAGATGTCTAGTATTGGTTTATGTTTCTTAGGCTCAAGGACTGCTACTTAGCGTTTTGTTTAAAGCGCGAATTAATATTCCTTGTTGGGGTATGGCGGTTGGCGGTTTAGGTGAATCAAGAGGACGGCACCGAGCGGGTTCTTCTTGTTCCAGTGCGACCCGACGGCGACCTTCGCATAGACGCCGGAATTGCCATAGACGGATCTCTTCTAGACAGCTAGTGACAATGACATTTTCGTAAACACAATATTATATTATACTAATGACTTAACTCACCTGATCTGTAATTTAACCAACTCCGCTTAGGTTGATGGATGATGATTCGATTTGATGAAAGAAATTGGCAGATCTCGGAGTTATAGCGTCCTGGTCTGAATGCTAGCTGTTGATGCTGTTGCTGCAAGCAAGATCCACTGACGTACGAAAGTCAAAACCAGGCCACGTTCAGTGCATTTCAACGAAAAAAAAAATGACCATACGAAAAAAAAACAGGAACAAGATACTGTTTATATGAAGAGTAATATCCGTAAATTTGAGCGTGACAATGCGACACTTGTTTTGGAACTAGAATGAGTAGATCAATCATCAATTAGCATGAGAATGGCTAATTAATACTGAAATGGGATAAGGAGCATGGAATCGTTGGGGAAATGCTTACGCTTTGTTTTTTATCGTGATTTAAAATATTTATGATTTAATAACGACGCGAATGTAGTTAGGCCTGAAAAAGTTGGCTGTTTGTTTGAATCGATTCCGGTTTAAAGTTTTATTTTGTACATTATTTCCATTGCTTGCAATGTTAATCGGCTGCGGTTAATTTAAACAATGCAAAAAGTGTCTGCCGTAGACCTTTTTTCTTGTTGTCATCTAAAATATGATAAACCTATATTGCTCTTCACACCGTTCTACAAGGGCAAACACAGCTTCTTAGGGAAAGCATTGGCCTGTTAACCTCATTCATAAATCATATATTTCCAATTAATTTTTTTTGACACTTGAACTGAGAGGTTAAATCTTGGCCATTGGTAAAACGCCACTTTTTGATTCAGTTTGGCAAATGACATGGCCAGACCATAATTACTGTATGAAACAAATCGTTCATTGTGTGCTTGAATGTTCTTTTATTCTCGCTCACTTGCCACAGTGTAATTTTATCGGTTTCTTTCTTAATACCAAAATATTCATAAAGCCAAATCATCGACGGTAAATTTAAGAGTTATTATTTTTATAGCTTGTTTAAGAACTCGTGGTTGCTATGCATTTGATGCTACTGCTATCATACATAAAAAAAAAATTGTGCTAATAAGGTGTATATATTTAACTCATTGACCGCTCGGACTAAAGCGGAACCAATGATGATATGCAAAATCATTAATAGAGTAGACGTAGCATTAACGCAAGGGCATAATGCTCCCATAATGACAACACGAGTCTACGAGCAGCCTACGTATGCATGTACAAAGTAGCAACAAAACAAACATTTGAATGAGAGGGAGCACATTGAAGTTGCGGCAGAATGAAATGTTGAAACGAGTAGAAAAACAGACCAAAAAAACTAGCGCAAAAGTATTTATGCACAGATGCAAGATAGTATGTGTGGAGACAGTGGCTATCATGTATTTTTGTCAATTCGATACTGGCGAGGAATGGTTGGCGAATGGTAGCTAAAACAGTGTACAGCAACTGCAATGACAGTGCTTACTGAGGAGCCGTTGATAAAAAAAACCTGGCATTGAACAAGGCTTAGAGTAGAATCACTCAGGTCTAGAGTGGCTGTTGCTTGCCCATGTTGTACAGAAAACCTGCATATCTGGTCCAGTGGCCATACAGAAAGTTTAGGCAAATGAACGATAATAAAAGGCTTGAAATAATTTTCAGGAATTACCTTGTATAAACCCAATTCTAGTATATGTAATAAAATTATGCTCATCTATGCGCGTTATGATCATTTTTATCATTTGGTACAAATTATACTTATAAAACCGTATTAGTAATCTACCACCTAACAAAAAATCTGTACTCAAGTGACTATACTGGAGTTACTATACTAGCCAGTATCCATGGTAGGTATTCTCTCTTCAAAAGGCTGACCTTCTTGGTACAAAATTTCACGTCTCCCAGGGCTTTATGGGTCTTCGCCGTTAGTTACTGTTTTCGTTCTGTACACAAAATTTTCCTCCGGGATGTAGCATTAGCGTATGCGATTCCTTTCACGATATCCTCCAGCGATAGTGCAATTGTTTCTCTTGTTCAATTGAATGGAGTGGCAAGCAGCCAGTTCTCATTAATTGGAAACCACGGCGGTTCTTCGATAGATGAGTGCGGAGCGAAGCAAACACCCAATCCTGCTGGTGTAAAAAGAGTTATGTCGGACTAGGGCACTGGGGCTATGTTTTCAACATCCGAGCTGAAAAAAAAGTGGAATAAAGAAACTCTTTCAGCGCCCTTTGATTCGTATGCAGGGAAATTTTTTTTCGCCTCCTAATTACATTGGAAAGTAATGGACTTTTTGAAAAATTAAATATGTCTCTTTCACTGATATGATGTAGTCTTCTTCTGCATTTGTGAGGGTGTGCGAGTAACAGCTGATGACGCAATTTTCCCCGTTGTATCTCCGGGTTAAAACAAAAACTGCTCTTAAACTGAAAAATGTATGGTCAACGTAAAACATTTAATAGATATACCAGTGAAAACACAAAATTATCGGTTACATTTGTTTTCAATTTTTTCAACTAATAATATCATCTTGCGTTTTTTCGAGCTTGACGTCTTTGAACGCAGATTTTACCCATGGACGTGGTGCTTTCCAGTGATCTCTGAGCCGGGAAAATGGTTGCGCGAATCGGAGAAACAGTGTAAGTACCCTAGATTCGGTGGTTCTTCGATCCTGCGAACTTATCCCTCGTCGTCGTTGTGTTGTCACCAATTGCTCTTGCAAGAAACGCCGTCTATTGGTAAAAGGGGGATATATTTTTGCGTTTCTAAAACCCATGAAAACGTTCTCATTTGTTTCATATCCATAAGTCCTCGGAATCACCTGGTTTTAGGTGTGGTATCAAGAACTGGCTTGCATAAAAACTTACCCAAAGTGGATCTTGCGGGATTTATGAAATTTCTTTAACAAACCTATAAAACGGAACCACCGTTAACCGGAACCACATTAATATAAGCAGCTATTACCGTATTTTTCTTAATTCCTTATCTCTTACTCATTTTTCTGATATTTAATATTTGGTGATAATTTTTGCCAGCGCTGAGATTTGCATCAGCATGGCGGCATGTTGTTTAGGAAGTAATTACCGTAGCAACATAGTCAAAAACATGCATACAAGCCACCCAGACTGCGTCACCCCTAAAGAAGATAATAAGACAAATTGTAGGGTTTTTTTAGCGCATGTTTTATTTTGTTCTGCTAGTGCTTGTGGTGAGCAAATACATACTTATTATTTCGGTGTAACATAGACCATTTTTCTTCTGTGTTGACCGGCATTGTTTTCAGTGTAGAGTTGTTATAGTCATACAACTAGAATTCTTTGAAAATATTTTTCTGTCCTTGAGCATTTCAAATCAACATGCGTGCTATCTTTAAAGTTGACCATTATACAACAATTTTATTTACCAAATGAAATGCTTGGCTGTAAAAATGTGAAAGCAAAGGGCTAAGCGTCGCCTTCTTTTTTTGGCGATCGTGTCAAGACGAGTGAATTGCTTGAAACTTGACAGGAACTGCTCATTCTTCACATAAAGAGCTGTTAAACTTTATTAGGCTTCTAGCATATCTTTCCTGTCTGCCTTAAATTGGTTGTTTTTTCTTCTCATGAACTTCCATTTGTCACGGCCGAGCTTTTACATGAAAGTAAATAATAGGACTTCACACCCTGTACTTTGTTCCTTCCAAATAAGGAGGCATACGTTTTGTACGAACAACTGGTTAGTCTAATCAATTTGCTTTAGTATCGTCATGTATATAGCTTCTACACAATTTGCTAACTTTTTAGAAAAAGCCATATTCCTTCTTAAAGGTAAGCCGAATAACTTGAGTCGGCTGAATGGCTGGCCCAGGTTTCTCTGCCTGTAGGGGCGACTCAACAAGCCGCTTTAACTCGAGTGCGCCGGTGCTACATTGCGTTTATAGAAATCAAATATATTGTCCTTCGATAGTTTAGCAAAGAAGAATAAACAAGTTATGAATTAACGACAAATCGAAAAAGGGATGAGACGACGAGTGGATGAAAGACCTGCAAGAAGGGGGCCATTGAGTTAAAGTAAAATGGATAAGTTCGTCTCCACTAATTTCCTTATCGCTGTTGTTGCGGAAAAAATTATCACTTTTTCGCTTAGAAAATCGCTGTATTTTCGTTTTAAGCTGAGCACTTATTCTATTTCAAGCGGCGAGAGATTTCTTGTAATTTTTAAATTGTTCCACTTCTGTGCCTTCGAGACATTTCCTCAAGCAATTGTTAAGAAACGCGTCGATGTGACTAGTTATAAATGAAAAACCCTTTGTTCGATTCTTTGTTCAATGACGCAATGATCCTTATGCCTGATAGTTATCATTCATTTTGAACTGACGTTTCTGCATTAAAACTGCTTATTGAGCAGGCAGATCGGAATATTTTGTTCCACATCCTATACTACCGTACCATTTTCGTAACATGCTATATGTGTAACTGTGATAGTAGTAAAATTACGTAAAGTATGCCGTTACGTTAAGTTGTAGTTAATCTTGTCTAATGAAACCAAATGGAAGCTCATCTAATATGATCATAGTTTTGCCCAATACGTTGTAGTTAAGTTGTTCATGTGGTCTTAACTTATTAAAACATGGTTCGCGAAAAATCTCATTGAAAAGGTCCATCGCCGCTTCTCGTCCGACGTTTTCGATGTAGCGGGACTCAACCTGATAACAGATCATCACCCCATTTGTGTGGTGCATTTCACTCGTCAGATGCCACTGATAGGTCTGGACGTCGCGCAGTTCATGGGCGCGGACATTTTTCGTTTCGTGGAAGCTTAATGGCTGATCTTAGCTATTAAATAGTATATGAAATAATTAAAAGTGCTTGCATTTTAACAATAGGTTATATTCAACATAATTTCTAGCAATCCTTTTAGGTATTGTTATGCAAATATTACATGGACTAAAGTTAAAAGAAGTTAATGGGCACATTCAAACCTTACTCATTTTCATTTGCAAATCGGTTAAGAGTAATTAAGTTCAGACTATAAAGCTAGTCATGTTGATCAGGGTTCCTAGAGTCGTTTCGATGCTGTGGCGTACAGTGCCTTAGACATCTTGAGGAAATTCACGCGAGTGTTTCTGTCCTACTTAGAACTATTCGAGGTTATGCAGTATAGCTTGTTACACCGTTGGTATGTATGATATGGCGAAAAACAGGCGGATTCGGGCAGTGTCATAAAAAAGCATCCTTTCAATAAAAATTAGCAATCAGATCATAAAAATCTACTTACGTCTGACAACTCTGCGAATAGTCCTATTTATTCTTCGAGCCCCAACAACCGTCATATTTTCATGGATAGGTACCTCTATGTATAGTTTTCTCAGTACTTCGTGAAGGAATTCCTCTGTACGTTGTGCCGTGCACACGTTTTCTGCTGCGATCAACATCTGTTTGTATGTCGAGAATTTCTTGGAGAGAACCGAGAGCAAATAGTATAAAAGCTGTTGTTCAGGCTGCTCTATTGGAGGGTAAGGTACCCTCCAACAGAGCAGCGAAAGGAGCAGTTCCTTCAAACTTTAAGGTAAAGTTTGAAGGAACTGCTCCTTTCGAATTTCGAAACTAGTCGAATGTACCCTGAATCAAACTAACTTTTCACAGATTTTTTCAAGCAGCGCTTGTTGCGGCTCGTTATAGTCATAAATTGTAAGTGGTAGTCCTTTTGAAGTCACCCTTAGCTCATATATGCTGCCAGCTAATATGGCTGGCTATAATACGGCTAAAAAAATTTAATGTTGGCATCGTTGAAACATCTCCAAACGAGTGAAACAGTGATTGAAGGAGTTCTGATAGAGAAGTGGCGACCTTAAGTCGATGCCTTTTGGCACTTTATATTTTCTGTCCTGCAAGAGCCACACGGAAGTCTGTGGTTCGTTAACAACCAAAACGGGCGTTTTTGTGTACTTTGTGTCTTCGGTATCAGCACGAAGGTTCTCCTACTATGTAAATGACTTATCTATTCAGCGTGCCGATAGTTGATGATTCGTCAAAACGATTTTCTCGAAAATGCTTGCTTTAAAAGTAGTGCCGATTACTGTGGCTGATAATAGCGTATGTGCTTCAACCATCTACGCCGTTGGCTTAAAGAAGGCTCGTTAATTATTATAAATGTTGCGTAGGAATTGTGTTGCCCTTAGGAAAAAGATGTATGCTTCGTAAACAGCCAATGTCGTAAACATCCTATACAGCAGCTTTGATAATGTCGGTACTGGACTGGAGGTTCAGCACTGTCTGGCCAAGCTCGCGCCCTGCAACCCAGGTAGCGTTTAAAAATAGCGACAGCGCCGTATTTTAGTAATTGTTTACGAAACATATGCCGTACATACCTAGTGACATCATTTTATAGAAGAAAAACATACCTCGGGATTGTGCTGGTTCAAAGCATTTAACTTACGATTCGTAGAGTCCTGGACGAAAACAGGCTTGAAAGAAAAACAAAGAAATTTTGGCCGTTTTTTCGAAATAATCAGACCTTACATCGATTTTAGGTATAGTCTAACGCTGTATATGTAATATGTACTCGCTACGCCGTCACAATATGCCGCCATCATTAACTAAAGGTAGAGCAAACTCATCTTTATCAGGATATTTCTTTGCATCACAAAATAGCAAATGAATGTTCGCAAAAATGCGCCAATCTCTTCTTTTCTTGTCATGTAGCCAGCTTATACACAAGGGCAGCCACTGATAGATCCATAAATAGATTCGAAAAACAAACACGAGAAAAAAAGTCCATCTTCGAGCGTCAGGCCTCGGTAACCATAGGTGTACGATATATTCCTGGCAGTATTGTAGGTACTAGAGATTTGCTAAATTCGTAGGTTTTATCCTACAGTCTGGCTAATATTACATGTCAAAATTTCAACGTGTTGATTATCTTTTTACTGATTTGGTAACTAATCTGTCCTTCTCGTTTAGACAGGCCACAAGTTACGTGGGGGGCACGTGAATTTTGGCCATAGTCAAGTTGACTGATCAGCGACAAGTTGGCGAGCGACAGATGCGGGCGATTGTGACAACTATTGCAAATGCTATCAGGTACCGTAGATGGAGTGCGAATGACTGGTGTATAACGCATTTATATCGACGATTACTGTAAAATTTCTCTGGGCTCCAAGTTATGGATAACATATTTGGCTGCGAATCTTAACGACACATTGTGATCTAGGTTCGGTAGACAGACTTCGAGCCTGCTGTTTGATGAAATGCCCGACGATGGCGATACCGGGCGTAAAACTCGAGATATAGAGGCTCCAAGCGTAGGTCCTCGCAGCAGTCTTAAGGCCATGAAGGGACACATCTATTAATTGCTTTTTCTCTTTATATGATCTTTTTAGATAAACGGACAGCTACTTAGGTATGCTTTTTTGATCAAATCATCGTAAATAAGGCGCAACCGCCGCGCCTCGAAGCTGCCGCTCCCGTTAATAATCAAGCTTGCTCTGGCGCGTATAAAAGAGCTTGGTAAGAGACCGTATAAGTTTCAATATTTCAAAAGACGCAGCACCGAAAAAACCCGTTCAGAAATGATTATCTAGTTTCTACTTTTAATTGTCAACCCCTAGTCCCGTATACCCCTGGTAGTGTTTCTAAGAAAAAAATAAATCCTAGCTTGTGAAGGACCTACTGGCACTGATGTTCTTTTTCGGAAAATATAAGCGACCCGATAGAAGATCTGAGGCGACATCTTTAACGAACTAGCACGGAGCTACGTGTCAAGAACTGCAACTGACAAAATAGCTTCGGAACACAAAACCTCAATAGTGCTAAATAACGAGAGATCACCGAAGATGACAGGAGGTTTTTTCTAGACTGTGTCAAGTAATGCTCAAATACCATCGGTTTGAAATGCCGCAGCAAGACGTGCCAATGAGCTCTCCGCGTAAATCCTAAAGTGCTTTACATGTTCTAGCTGTCAGCGTAGATTGCAAGATGTAAGCCTCCCTCAAAGATATTATTACCATTGAAAGCGATCGTCTAGATGTTTCCAGATGTTAATTGTTTTTTATACGCCTGCTCGACGAGATGCTTCTAGTACAACTTTTCCTACCATCAAGTTGCTCAGACCAGGAGAACACGTAAGGGTTCCATTAGTCTCATCGATGACCAAAGTGACACTGTTGCCAGTGCACGTATACCCGAATCGTCTATGTAAAGCGATTTTTACCGTGAGTATGGTGCACTCATCGAAACTGTACCTACATTGATAATAAATACCTAGCTCTTTGGTGGAACAGATGAAAAAGGTACGGTAGTTACATACGTTTACATATTTTATATTATTTATTAATTCGTTTTACTTTATACATAACTTTCCTCAGTAGATATGCACACATTATACTAAAAGTCAAATAAGAAGAAGTGTTAATAAAAACAGTTGACAAACAATAAAAAATAGCTAATAAGTCATATTGGCCAGCGTAATGAGTAGTAATGAAACGATAAATACATGGTAATGAATGATTCATATTGCTAGTACCGTTCGTCACCACGGGTACATTGTTTTATGCGATGCCCATCGAAGTAGTTGTAAACACAAAGCGATTTCATTTTGTCTTCAAGGCTTTTATCATGTTCAAGTAACCATATTTGTCGCCTCTGTTTATCTCGCCTCGATGATAAGTATGCAGATACACAGGTTGGCAGCACTCGCATCCGATCTTCCCACGCACCGTTTGGTGCCACCATAAATTTAGATCAAACAATTCTTCTTCTGTTTATGGAATTTCGTAAGAATCGACCCTTCCCACTTCGCCTGCTCCCTCTCCTTCTGCTTTCTTCACCCTTCGCATCCGTACGTCCGTTCTTCTGTTTACGCGAAACTGGTATTACTATTTGTTGTCGTGCTCACTTGAAAATTGGTCATTTTCGTTTGTCACGCAACTGCGAATCTTGGTCATTGGAGGAACTCTATGAAACTAGTTCGACATTTTCTTGTCCTGTGAGATTGTTCCCGACTGGCAATAGTCATGATACGTGTATTCAATTATCTGCCGGAGCCGCGAATAAAAGCCCCGATCGTTTTTCTAAACCGTTCGAAAACTTCCCATTGCGAGGCACATACAATTTAACAACTCTTCTGCGTTTCATCCCTGATGTCACGCTTTCATCATTAATCGTATCAGGAGGAGCCTGTGCTGGCTCGATGGAAGTAACAGCGATACCTTTGTCAATCGTTGCCGCGGCCGAGATGGAGGTTGATGTCGCTGGCGCTTGAGTTATTGTGATCGGAGTTTTCTCTTGGACAGATTGACGTTTAACGATGCTCGCGTCATCAATCAACTCGACGGGACCATCGTCCATGCGCGATAGGGCATGCGATGAACTATCAGTGAGAGCTGAGCTGAATCTCGGCATAACCTCCACAGCGATTTCGGAGGCGGCTACGAGGTTGGGGTTACGACTAGATTTTTTGCCTCGTTGTTGGCGAAGCGAGTTCTCCTTTCGGCCGAACTGCTTACGGAAATTATCAGCACTTGCCCGACGATTGGCGCCAGCTTTCGCTGCGCGAACCCGTTCAGTCGGCAGCTGAAAACAGAAAAGTTGTATTTGTTTTTGGATGAAATATCACCTTTTATTTATTAAAGTATATTTTGCTAAAAAAAAGCTGAATTTATGAAGTCGACACTAATGGCGTATAGAGGGCTCTAAGCGTATGAAAAAAAGCTTACCTCGCCTCTTACTGTTTCAGGCTGCACCAACGTAGCGGTCCCGGGCTGGTCCTCAATCGTCTGCGTCAGCTGGGCTCTTGCTGGCTTTCGGGTGGCTGGTACCGGGGGATGAGCCTCTGCAGGACGGCTTGTCGTTTCAGGTGCGGTAGAAGCTGCCTGCCGGGACACTGGGAGGACTTTGCTGAATTCAATCTGATTGGGCGAAATTATATTGACCCGATGAGGCACTGGAGGTTCTCCAATTACTGGCACCTCCGTCGGCTTGAACATTCTGTGCAACAGACAACAATAGACAATATAACTGAGGAATTTTTTTTTCAAATTGCAACTGCTGCATCGCAAAAAGTAGAGCTTAAGTGACCGGATATTGCTAGAGTCACTCCTTTGACTCATCCTGTGTTTAATTCATTAATAATGTGATTTTTTGTCATAAAACTAGGCTGATAACGAATTGAATGAAGTGAGGAGCTTATAAAATAAGCTCCTCATAATTTCAATTCCGACACACATAATATAAAATATTATGTGTGTCGGAATTAGCGGCCCCAAGCTTAAAACATTCAAAGGCGTTATGTGTGTGGTTCTGAAATGCTATATCAATCGTCAACTATGTAGACTATTTTGTAAAATTCGTTTCACACACTGACTGACCAGCAGCGTTCAGCAAATCAAACAACACTGATTTTTTAACTGATTTCGTTTTGATTTTTCACATAAAATTAAGATTTTTGGGTCGTTGGTGAGCGCTGAGTCGAACAAAATCCCTTTGAGTGCTTAAAATAGTTTGTGCTAAATACGTTACCGCACTTGGGCTGGGCCTCTCTGAAATAGAGAATTAATGTGTATCCCTATAATTTCATTTCAGTGGTGCTAGCCGAAGAAGCGACTATGTTTGTAGCCATATTTGTACTTTTATCGATGATATATGGAAAGGTCCACAACGAAATCAAACAAATTTTACGCTACTCTCATTATTTCCCTGGTACTATTCACAACATACCTGGAAACTTGAGCAACTTTGAAAACTTTTCTGTTGAGTAAGGACTCGATATACGAAGAGTCTTTTTCAGGCAAGAACACAAGTTATCTGACGCTGTATTTATTTAGGTACATGTGGCATTTTTAAAAAACCAGTTCACCAATGGTCTTTCATCTAAGACCGTCATCCATCTGTTATGATGTTGCGAGCTACCCATATGTTTCTTTTCCATATTTAGCCCACCTGTCTTGAATGTAGTTGACGTTCACCGACGTCGTTAACGGCGCATCGTGCTTAGCACACCTATGGCTGAATGGTCCAATACACGCAGAATAAGCAATTGCATATGGCAGATATGATTGTTCGACAGCTCCGACGAACAAGTGAGCCCAGGGCCCAATCGCAAATACTGGGACGTCTTCGCCTCCATGTACACCGGAGGTCATGTTAACCATTGACGGATATCGATGCCCCTCTGTCTCTTTGCTAGCGCCCTGTTTACGGGAGTTGCCTGGCCCGGAGAAATAACTTAAGATGCTGTGTCCACCATCATCGGCTGCTCCTGAAAACGAGATAAGGCTTATATCTAAATATTGCAGTGTATCCCAAACCATACGTTGTAGTATACCTATCCTACACAGTGGTAATATACGCTATATATAATAATTACTATAATGATATGCTATCTTCTGCACAGCATATGAATGTTCGTACCAATGATACTCTTTCCTCTGTTGGCATATCCGTTCAAAGTAAATGGATGCGAATGGTCGGCCGAAACGATCATTAGGGTGTTTTTTGGCGATAGGAGCTTCGCGGCCACTCGAACGGCCTTATCCATTTGGTAGACTTCTTCGAGCGCGTGCGCTGCTAGATTGTGGTGGTGCGCAGCGTCAATGTTGGCTCCCTCAATAAAGAGAACAAAACCTGCGTATTGGTTACTGACAGATGTTAGTGAGCTATATTTCAAATAAAATAAGTCTAACTAGCGAACCATTTTTCCCTCGAGGGTCCGGCGAACATGAACTGGCAGCCATTTCAGATTACATATTATATATCACTCTCGAACGAATAGTCTGACAATGCTCTGTGTCAATTCACTGTCTAAATAAAGATCATAACGAGACGGATTCTAAGCAAAATCATTTAACACACATGAAGAACGGAAAAAATCACCATAAACACCTATTTAAGATACAGTACCTCTAGGAGCTTTTGATAGCATCTTTATGGCAGAAAGGGTCATCTCGGACAGCGACGGTTCGTCGGAGTTCGTGGCATTTCCATAAAGTGTATCTAAAGCGTATGACATACGCCCTGGTGAGAACAGGCCAAGCACATAATCCGCCGCGTATCGAGGGTCTTCAACTTGGTCAAGGTGTTCGCGTGTCCAGATGAACGCCGCTCGTGTATCGTCTTCGGTGTGTCTTGACAAATATTCTTCTATTAAATTACGGCCATCCACCCTATTACAACGACATTTCATCGGCATGCATATTAATGAAGATCTTGCGCTTTTTTTTCTTATTTACGGGCAATTAACAAATCGCCAGTACCATCATTCTTGGTACCCCACGGAAACTAGTTCCATATTGGCGCGAGAGGTGTTGTGTAGTAATAGCTATTGGCGACACCTGACCAAGTATAGGGTTCAGCACGTCTCATTTTTGAGCGGCGCTGCTTTAGGCTAGCTTTTTGTGAAGAAACTCCCTTAGACCCTTTGAACGGTACTGTTGTCATTCGAAGTCTTCACTTCTGACCGCATTACCCTTGTAGTTCACTCAGCAAATCTGGGGAACGTTCAGTTTCGCCAGTTTTGTAAATCAAAAGCTCCATAGCTATCACTTTTGCATAAGTATAATATTACTTCGGCTTATCAGCTTAGCATTCAACCGTCAATTGAAGTACAATGAAATTTTTTTTTTACTGTTCTGCATAGAAAAACTCCCACTTTAAGAGTATTTTAAGGTAATGAACTATTCAAGCCGGAGGTGTGCGTAAAGGTTAAGTCGTATTATGGCGATAGCGCCTCACTGCGTGAGAGATACTTAGGTCAGGAATTTGTTTAAGTAATAGTTTGGCAAATAGGTTGTCATTCCTAAGAGAAAAAAAATGAAGGTATGCCAAATGATACCTGTCTCCTGCGGCGTTTATTGGAAGTTGGTCACCATCAATCATTCGTTCAGTTTTGGGCTTTACTGTTGATGGAAGGAAATCGTTTCGACCTCCACCGTAGATAACCCTCAGTCGTGCACCCGTCTCTCCGTGGATCAGCTGTGTGGCAATATCGTTTGCGTGACAACCCTGAGGAACCGAATTAGTGAACAAGCGATCAGCCGAATGCGCGTAGCTTGCCGCCGGCGAAGCTCCCGTTACACTGTCAGTTGTTACGAGACCTATTCAAAACGAGCAGCGATGTCCGTACGGAACAAACAAATTAGAGCGAGCGTCGCTTTGCATCCGTCGCGTGGTTCAAGTTATACAGAAGTTCCAAATTGATTGGGAGTAAATAATATTGTGCATGCCAAAGGGGGAAAAAACGTTTACGAACCAGTCCATTTTCCGTTAGCCTGGGCCCAAGAAAGGATGCTTTGAACCTGATTTTCCCGTTTTACAGCCTCATTACAATCGCCCCTTCGAACTTTCGACGTGACGCCAACAACACCTAAATTGGTCTTAACACCGCACAGATATGCTGTACCGGATGCTGCAGAGTCAGTCGTCTGTTTATCGACAGCGTATGTCTGGAAAAAAATTGCATTGATGTTAGTAGCGCGAGTTCGTCTGATGTCCGCAGTACGTTCAACATTACAAACTTTGTATGCAGGTCGAGATTCAGTTTATAAAGTTAAGTATGAACTACCTCATTGGAAGGGTTCTAGTCGGACTAGGATCTATTGAGCTCCGTATGGGGTTTCTTTACCTAGCCTACGAAACGACAATTGCAATACAGCTTCATACAGCTCATACAGCTTTCTTTTGTAGCCAATGGACTAATTCTTGCCCCTGTGATCATAATCCCTTGTAGTGATAGTTTTGCTAGCACTGATATCTGAACCAGCGGTAGCCACTTACCCGCCCCCCTCCCTTGCCCTGATGGCAACGAACTAATAGAAATGTGAATTATCTATCTAAACCGATCATGCGACTTCCTGAAATACATATTTGTGCTATTTGCATCTGATATTATCCTGCTCATGTGATACGATTATAATTAAGATAGCCGTTCAGCACTCCCTTATCTGAATCCATATGATTTTCGTATAAGAATCAAGGTATTTTTTTGGGAACTTTGTTTTTTCATCTCGACTGTCTTTGGTGTTTAATCGATGTTTTCCTATTTTTTGCCTTTGTTTCGTTATTTTCAAATTAAAAGTCGTCTAATGATTCCTCGTACCTCAGTATATCCTTCCAGCTCTTTGTAAGTCCGCAAGCAGGTGAAACGCGCATTGCCTTAATGTTTTAACGGTCGCTTTTTTTCTTTGCTCATTATTTTATTATATCGGATATTCTCGCAAAAATAACGAGTCACGTTCTCATTTTCTGAGGAACCCTACTAAAGCAACGGTAACTTTGTTGTTTTTGTATCATAAAGTTTTTGCAAATAGTTCCCGTTCGACATCGTGTGGCTACTACTACCGTTCATAGTACTGTTTTCCATTTTCGAAAACGTCGTAATTGCCATCTGCTCCCTTCCCAGGTTTGATGTTGAACGATAGCAGGAGCAATAGTTTGTTGTGAATTGTGAACTTCTTCCTTCCGCCGGAACCATGCTATTGAAACAAAAGGGGCAAGGGGAAGAGGTAGAGGGGGGATTAGGATTATTATTCTTCAACTTACGATTTCAAAGCTACCGTGAGTGGTAACGAAAGAAAACGTCTGGTAGGTGCCTGGTACTTTGTGTTGCTGTTGTCACCGTCGCTCGGTCGGAGGACGAACACAGGCCCACCCCCCGTCACAGGCACATCAGCCCTGGTAGCTTTGGAAGTTTTTGCGGGTGGCCAACCTCTGACCTTTGTGACATCGCCGCTCCGTGGCTAGCTATTTTGGCGGATTGCGAGCACTGAACAAGGGAGCGTAAAGTTACCCGCTTCTGCACCATTTGCCGTTTCACAGCATATATACTTTCATTCGCGCTTGTTGGGAGCAAGCAAAGACGCGAAGCAGGACGAAAAAAAGGAAACAATTCAACAACTGCGCGGGCCCCAGACAAACACGCAAAAGCAGCGATGGTAGCGGCGGCAATAAGCGATGGCAGCTACGAAGTGAGATGACCGTGATGATGATAATGGGTTCACCGGCTTAAACGAATCACTGCGCCCTCGTTAAAAAGAAATAACTAGAGGTGGCCCATTGCAATGCAGCGATGCAAAACCAGCGTCGTTGCCGTCGCAGCCAACCTAACAGCGACAGCTGCCGCCACTCTCACTGACACGAAGCTCAGTTAAACGAGAAAAAAAGACAAGGAGGGAGAAAAAAGGCGAAGAGGCAGGAAAAAGTAGGAAACTTTGGAGGATAATTGAGAGGGACAAGCAGAGGAAGCAACTGCAGCTGCGGACAGGAACCAGCAGACAACGGGCAGTATTTAGCAACGATCTGCTAGAACTACACCAACATTGAAACGTCGCCCTGTTTATCAATCCATAGAACTTTTCCACAGTGAAACCAGTGCGAGCGGACGCGTCGTATAGCCTAAGCTATGCCATCTACAAATGATATACGCCGACCGAAAGATAGAGAACAACGGGGAACCGCACCTGCCACTATTCGGCCCCGTTGACGTTGCGGTGTTTCCGTTGCATTCGAGTAATGGCCTAGACGGCCAGCTGAGGTTCATTATCATTAATAGCAGCGGTAAGTATGAAGAGATGATAAGCGTTCGTCCCATGTCAGGAGGCTTCCTTTTAGCGCCGACTAGTTTTCAGCGCCTGCACAAATGCTAGCGCCAGTGAAACAAATCTAGAATCTATATTGTTGTATGCGTGCATCTGTATATGTGCTCCAGCCGCAGCTGGCCACTTCATTGTTTCAAGCCGGCTCTCAACGGATGGTGAATCTTCCGGCTCAAGACGACGACGCTAACGGCAATACCAATAATGATAATAATACATAATAACAATAAGGTGACAATAAAAGTAATCGAGTATCGTCGAAACGACTTAAGGACATCGGCAGTCGAGCCGCTGAGGTGCCGCATTGCGCTGTCGAATAATAATGATGATGATACCCATAGTGAGTCAACTGTGTGCGTTAGTACACGTGGAATTGGTTTTTCCTATATTTACCCGTAGGAAAGTGGGTAGAGTACAGGAAAATGAGCGCCTTCTAACAAAATCAGGGTGGTTTCACAGTGGACCAATACGAAGAGGATAGTGGGAGTAGCAAATGGGGTAGTACAGATTATTAAGCCTCCTGCTGTGGAATTTAACAAAGCTTAAGAGAACGAATCGAGACTACGATGGAACACTGACGAGAAAAACTTTAGAGAGCTCCTTAATAAAATGAAAATGTAGAACCATTAATTTGGGTGTTCTGGAGGACTGATATTACGACGCAGCTGAGCAAACCTAAAATTCTTATACCTTAAATCTATACAATTTATTGCATATCAACAAGGCGTCCTACGATCTGTCTGTTCCAACTATTGTTAGAAAACATTAATTTGTAATAACGTTAGAATGACAAACTGGGTTTTTTCTGCGAACTATAACGACGAGTTACTCAGTATAATTTTTTTTCAAATTTAAACAACCAGATAATGACATAGGGGTTGGTAAATGTTCCAATGGCCGAAAGCCCTGTTAGTCCAAGGCCAATAATTAAATTTGCTATCGGCTGTCTTGAGCACAACTTTTCTAACCAGCGAACGTAGTTATATGGATACTGTACGGCAGCGTGCAGTAAAAATAATCACGATAGGTACAACAAAAAGCGGGCATAAGAACAACTAATGTTAAGTAACAGAATGTCGTTTGTCATTAAGAACGTTATTCACACAAAAAATATAATATCTATTTCCGCCATGCGTTCTCGGCGGAATAACATTATTATTATAATTATAGTGTTATAAGTGCTGAATCAAGCTGAGTATTTATGATAATATTGTTACGATCATACGTATACGAATCAACAGGGGTACTGAAGGTAAAGGCTAAGTACAAAACATTCCAACGATGCCCCGTTTTTATATCCCACGGGCCCATATGCTCACACTGCGATCACAATGCCAAAAGTAATAATTGTTATGTTGCAAATTGATCGCTGATTCCCCCTGCTGGACCTTGACTTTCTTTCGTGAAATCTATTTTACTTGTTGAGGTTTAATTTTAGTGGATCACAAGCTTGCAACATCTGTCTCTGTAGTTATTTATAATTTTTAAAAAAAACGATGATGCGAGCATTTGTTGACAGATCAGGATCTCTTGATGTAGTCATGTGCTGACCGAAATGATTACGGGCCTTCTATGGAATTCAGTTCTAAGACCCGGGAGGTGAGCCGTACAGAAAACCTGCTTTCAGCGTGCTACTCTTACGCTACTTACTTTCGTCAAGCCGGTGTAGGGAAATTTCTCAAAGTCGAGTTGAGCCTCTTCGCCACTAGCACCTCGCCTTTGTCCCTTGTAGATTCTTCCCGCTGTTAAGGTTGATACGCCCATACCATCACCGATAAAGAACACGACGTTTTTTGCTACTCCCGTATTTGTTATTTGGCCTAGTTTCTCGTTTAAAGTTTTTGTGGCATCCTCCAACCAGAACAATTCGTCTTCTGGAAAATAAATTCGATAATTTTAGATTTCTCCAAGCCCTTACCTCACTTATGTAGTACCGACGAGTCCAAGTTCAACTTCCCCTAACAGTTGGATAATTCAAGTTGATAACGTTATGTGCCGTTTATAATAAACTGTTTAATAAAAGAAGCAGTTTGTTATAAATGGCTCAATAACTCCACTATACTGTTCAGCAGAAAATTCCATATGTAGCTTATATTCATACAAGTAGTAATTATTAGTATACATGTAAGTTAACTAACTTAAAACTTTAAACGCCATGAAAAGCAGTAAATAGGTAATTTAAAGGGGAACGCGTGAGGCGAAAATTAAGTTTTTTTTTTCAAATCGCTGAGCGGTTTTTCCTCAGTAAATCTTCGAAAGACAATGATTGCCCATTAGTTTAAAATGATTAATCATTATTTCACAAAACAAATTCGTACAAATCACAATACGAGAAAGTAAGAGATATTTAGAAATGGGTATCCGAAAAAGGATAAGTAGAGATTTCAAACGACTCTATGGTAAATTTAAGTGTCGAAAAATGACAGTAATGATGTGCGATCTAGTTTTCAAAAGCCTTTGTGCTATGGCTTGCTTTGCTGTATTGTTTCCTAATCTATTATAAATAATAAATGTCGTCTAATCTATTATAAATCATCTCTATATTATCTAATAATGTGTTCTCTATTACTTGACATTTTTTTTCTGTAGACATTGCATTTTCCCCTCATGAATTTATATCGAAACCAGTACTTTAGAGCAGCTAGCTAGCGCGATTGCGTGTCCTTTATTAAATAGAAGTCTCACAGTGACGGGTCTTGCTATGGTAAAGTCCAGCAATATTAAACAGCACAGATTTAGCTTTTAATGAGAAGATTCCTTATGAACTTGTACAAAGTCCCTGCGGAGCGCAGGCAGCAGAACTGGCAGTTGGCGATGCGCTGACACGAAAATTATCAGAAGTTTCCAAAATCCTAGCCCCGTAAAAAAAAATAGATATTCACTTTCTAAAGTGTAATCCTTTTGAACGATGCCGATAGATCTATGGTTTCATAGACACACTAGCTATCCATGCTAGTTACTCGTACCGAGCGCTTTTGGCGTATTCCTTTCGCTGACTCTCAAAACGAGCGGCTACTGCGGGCCGCAAGAGTGTACAAGATGTTGAAATAGCGAATAAATTACTTTAGTCATATTGCGCAACGTAACGACCTTTCTAAACCCCTGGGGGTTAGAGTATGTGTTACATATAGGGGGCTTTAGCCTTGTTTTAATTCAAAATAGCGTTTATGCGTGATATCAACATTTTACAATGATCTAATTAGGTGCAAAATCAGAGGAGTGGTTAGGCGTGATCAACTCTGGAATCCAGGTAAGTTTCAAGAAGTAATGTATCCTATTAGCTAGTTCAAGGATCGTTTTTGTCGTACCTTCTTCTATCCTGTAGTTTGGATATGTTTTGTCTGCCGACAAAAATCCCGGCTGTGTAGGCTGTGTATCGACTAATCGCAGGATGGACAACGAGGCGAAGAGCAACCCTGCCCTTAGATGTAGACATCTATTTGTCAATGGCTGCATCTTGCATTAGATTCTGTCAGCGACGCCTAAGAAGATCACGGAGGCCTGAAAAAGAAGATTTTCCTATTAGAATTCAGTTTTGGATACTTGACAGTACTCAAACGAAGAAAGAAACTCCAGAAGAAAGGAACTCCAGCCGGGGAAGACGTGAACATTTACGTGTCTAAGTGAACATACGTGAACTGACGGTAAATAACGAACCCGAATGGTCGACAGAATCAATTTGTTAACGATAGAATCTTCAACAGCAACTTCTACATCCCATCGTGTACGTTATCTCAGCCACATTAAGATCAGCTGTTCGTTAGCAGATATAATTTTGACACTTTGTTATTTCGAAATAATCACTCTTTAACTTAGCTAGGTTCATCCCCATGCAAACGCTGTGGTTTTTTGTTCTTTGTTGTATTCAACAACTTCGATCGAAACTAAGCGTTTCGCTACGCTTCACCCATGCATCGTTACATTATCTAAGACGCAAAATCAACACCGAATAGTAAGTATTTACGTAATGTAATTATGTTGTATAAAAAAATATCGGCCAAAACAAGCGGAGGTGCTTAGGAGACGCTGTTGGTAGATTATTTAGCGGTAGTTCTAGTTAGTTTGCCCATACAGTTAGTTATTAAAGAAATACCACATCCAATAGCAAGTAAATTTCTTATCCCTAAAATAGAGGGAATAGCGGTAACGCTATCAAATAAATGTTGGCCAACGCACGAAAACTACTGCCTCAGAAGGTAAGATATTACCGCTTATTATTAGTGAATGCAAAGCCGATCTGAGATGCTCCTCGTGGGCACGAGAGCAGATTATGAACCTATCTTGATTTTGGTGAGTTTATTATTCGCTCTCGTTTTGTTTTTTTTTTCCCTATGAATATGGCATAGTATTCATTATTTATAAAACGCATCAAAACGGCCAGTATTCTTGATTCTAGAACATGTACATACATCTCTATAGACGAGTTCATGTTCTAGAAAAACAAACGGACGTTTGTGAAAATTTGCCTTTGTTTGCGGCTAATACCAAAAATGAACTATTTGATTTTTTGGAGGATGGAGTTCTAAATATTGTTCTAGCAGAATTTTCTAACACGAACCATTTCTAACAGAAAAAAAACTGAAGTCGCAATTTTTTGTTTTGTCAGTCGCCTATACAGAAGGAGGAACACCTTTTAATCTACTAGCTATCGTTGTATTTTCGGCACATCTTGAAAAGCAATAATTTTTCTTCCTTTGACGGTTATTTAATTTAAAGTGGTTCTTTGAAAGTATTTATGGAAAACACGATATAAGATCGACGGTGTTCACTTTGCCTCCAGGTTCCCGGTTCGTATGTCATTACCAATAAAGCTCACTTGGGAAACGTGCAAAGTTCAATACTGCCAGGATGTAACTTCAATCATTCAGAGTCGATTTTCAACCTAACGTACATGAACCCATGACGGTACGTATAGCTCATGCAGTTCCCTGTCTCCGTTTGCAAGATCTCAGATTGTTATCTCTGTCTCACTAAAAAAAAAAATACAGCTTACAAAAACTAGAGTAATGTTGAAAAGTAGTAACTTACAAGTTATCCAGCTATATTTTTAAAGATTTTCGATATACCGTTGTAACACAGCATACTGACGGGCCGGCCCCAAAGAGCCCATCAGTATCAATAATAATAATAATAATAAAAAATCATTATGTCCTGCTGAAGATAGCTAAAAACAATTTCGCATATCTTTACGAAATTTCCAGCTGAGTATACCATCGAACTATTTGGTAGCTCGTTTGGGTTTGGGAGGATTTCATGGGAAGCTGTAAATTCGGTGAACTCGCACTATTGGAGTCTAACTGGAACAATGGTCAGCAAAAGAATACGAATTAATACTGCCAATAGAGTAGTTCAAGCTGAACATAACTATCCACGAATCTATAAACGATCGATTCGAAATGTTTTCAAATTCAGGACACTTCTTCCCACTTCAGCACTTCGTTTTCGTCACAACACTCAATTGTTCATTCATGATTTCGTATTGGGGGGCTGAGCTCTAGGAAGCATCGTGTTTTTGATTATTGTATCAGATGTAGTTTTCTGCTATTTTCGGTCACCTGTTACATTTAGTCGGTCAGTCAAGCCAAGCTTAAATATAAAATTCATAATACTTAGCTGGCTTAGGATATAATACGCTCCAAAAGTTACTGGGTTAATTAGCTAATCGTTCTGCCAAATTCCTGTTTCAGATCTTGCAGATCAGAGTTAAGTCTGGCTTACTAGTGAGATCTTTACTTTTCCCGAGAGCAGAAGCAACTCCTATATAGCCTTCTCTATTTCAACTAATTTTTCACATTGTATTTCAGTATTATCGTCATTCGAACCGTTCTTGTACGATCCGTCTCAACCCGTAGTGGACTATGGTACTTCTGTATTCTTTCGCATCCCAATGTCAGCCCGTACGAGTGGGCCAGCGCCTTTTCTATTGGCTAGCTTTGTAGCGGGCAGAGACTACAGAAATTTTGCATTCATCGCTTTAATTCTATTGACCAAACAAAAGTGCCGCTTGATTCGTTAGCACAGATTACCAACCTGATTGACCACTCCGGCACTAGTCATCGCCGCCAGGGTCCCCCGACGACAATACATGACCTACCGCGCGACTATCTGTTCTCATTATATATGAGATTGTATCGGACCCTCTGATGCCTTTTTCATACGATCGTTTTGGTCGTTCGTATGGGAATATATGACTACCGTTATTACCATTGTAGATATTGCTACTGGTATTATGCCGGTCATTATTACCTTATTATTTAGATTTGCAGACAGTCAGTCTGCACATTGGTTGTCCATGCGCATTTATCTGCGTATTTGTCACCTTGACTCTGGCTTCTTTTTGATGCTGTTCTGCTCATTGCAGTCAGTAATGGTTACGCAACTTGATTATATATTAATTAAAACCCCCCTAACCACCTGCCCTTCTCGTGGGGACCTAGCAGACACGCGCTAAAGTGACGAGTAAGAACGAGATGATCCTTATTTAAAGACGAAACAAATAGTGAAACAGTGCGCTGTTTTGTAATGTGACAAAAGTAAAATAATTTGCTTATACGTTATTTAAACAGCTGGCATTATTATGCATTGCTATACTGTAATTACATACTGTACAATTATATACTCTCGACAGATATGGCGAATCGTGAAACAAAATTATAGCAAACGATGGGGTAGGTAGCCTTTGCAACAGACTGAGGTGAGCTAACCAAATGAATACCAGCAACTACAGAGAAGATAATGAAAGAGAGATTGGCCAAAAATTTCCCAAGACCGCTCCCAGGATACCACCCCTTCTCTCCGGCCTCACTCATGCACACCCCATTTCACTTTCAAATGATGTACAAACGTGTGATTATGTGACGCGTTATCTACACCACGGTCGTTCGCTTGTTCACTGATAGCCGCAGCAGCGTGCGCTCGGTAGCGGATAGTTTTCATTTTGCAGAAAGGGGCTGGTTGGGGATGGAGAGACGAGGTAACAAAGCATTACCGCAGTCGTCGCTGATGTGACATTTTGTACACAGATTTCTACAAGTTTGGTCTGAGCTGCGGATCGTAAATTGCCTTTCCATCATCTTGGTCCTTATGTGCTTTAATGTTACAACCAAGTGAATTTTGGTTCCCATTGTGGTTAGGCGCTACACGCGAGAGCTCCTGCCACCGCTGCTGCTGACACACGGACAGATTATAGCACGCCTGGCACGAAGTAGCGTACGCCGACGCGGCACTTGAGCGCTTTTCGTTTAAGGGGACGCACGATGTCTTCCTACCAGTTGAGGCGTATATGTGTAACAGCAGGGTAATTGCAACAAGAAGGGGTGGCAGATGAATAAGATCAAATCAGCCTGAGCTGTGACGGTGGACACAGACAAAAACGCAAAAAGCGGATCAGACATGAGCGGACAAAACATTAGTGAATACGAAGGACGACTTTAGTTTCGTATTGTGACGCCTACGGTGAAGGTGATAGGCATCCCAACGGCAATAACGCTGGTGGGGTTGACAGTCGTACAACAAATCGTTCACGCGTGCACCCATATCATGTTTGAACCCGAGAGTAAGCAAGGGGTGACGTAATCATCTTCGCTGCATAACGTTTCCTGTGATGACAACCGATTTAATTAAAAAGAAAAACAAAAAAAAAATAGTACTGATACGATTAGAATACGCTCGCAACGTAAAATTCTGATTACTAAGAAGAGTGCAAAGAACTTCAAAGGCTCGAGTTGTTAGTGGTCTAAAACGGCGCGAAGCCTTTTTAGGTTGTTGTTGCGTAGGAAAACGTGGCAAGTCCTAGGTAATTTCAGGTACAGCTATGATTTTATATAATACTAATCGCTTGCCTATTATGAAGTTTGCTTAGCTGTACTTCCTGCCGTCTGACCGAAACTATAAATAGCGTTCTCCATAGAGGCCTAGTGGCTAAAATTAGGCATCGCGATGCATGCCCCATAAATACGTATGTCGGTTGAAGTGTGTGCGCATTCCGACCCGCCTATATTGTTCGCCCAGACCGCGTCATGTTAAAATGAGGTAGTTTATTGTCTGGCATAGTTTAGACTTCATATCGCGAAGTCAGCTTATTAACGCATTGAGATACTAAATGATCTATGGTTTGACGGCCAAAGATAGCTCTCGTATGGGGGGATGAATATCGCTTTCCTGCGTATCGGCACTACGACCAGTTTGCTATAGGCATAATCGTAGTGATGTAGGGCAAAAAGTAAAAAACAACAATGTGGGCAAACTAATCGTAGTAGTAAATCAGTTTAATAGCTGGGGTGACTTCACTTCAAAGTGGTATCTCTACGTTAATCTTGATGGTATTTTGGTAAATGGCTAGTCACGCGCCTATACGCGTCGGCAACGCTCTTGCATAACGTTACAATAGTAGAAAAACGATCACATACGAGGATGGGTTAAGTAATCTATGGATGTGTGGTCATTGTATCTCTGTTACTCTGTCGGGCCGACTTCCATTTCTAAATCGAGAGAGAAATACCGGATCGTTGAATAGTCTGAACGTACAAAACTTTAATCTGGTTGGCTAATGTTTCTTCTTTGGAACCGCTCTAATGCTACGTCAGCTTATGAACCGACAGATCAAATATTCAGGTCGAACTTGAACCACTAACCTTACAATGTACCATTTTTTGCATGAACAATGTCTACAACGGCTAAAAATATCGCAAACTAAAATTCGTAATTTATTTCTAGCAACATCTTGTCTAACAAAAAAAAGTTACTGAACGTATTTTTGTGAGCCTATGTTATTTATAGATACGTATCAGCTGTATTTGCTTTTTAATGCTACACTGGAGTAATCGTAAACTAATAACAACAGTAACAATTGACAATTCGTTGCCTAGACCAGAGCTGTATGTGGTATGCCCTCTGAAACACAAACCAGTCACATAAGCCTTGTACAGTTACTTGTAAAACAGTAATAGATCGAAGGCTTTAATAACCAGAATTCCTCTATCGGCCTAATCTCGTGGCGCCCGAACCCAATCTGCACAGGAACTTTAATGCTTGTCTTGTTTTATGTCGGTGAATGGGAGAAAGTGGAGGCTCGATCATCACAAAGTGCAGGTCTTCAGTGGTACCATATGTGGTACATACCAGTACATATATATATATATATATCGCAGTTCGGCTTGTGTGCGCTGGTCGTGTAATACACACGTACACTAACCTTATATAGCTATCTAATGATAGCCATTAATTCAAGTCAGTAAGCACAGAGATCAAACGTTTCCAATACACGTGTACAGAATTGTTGAATCGACCTTTACAGATGGTAGGAATAGTAAACTGATGGCTCTTACATAACTGATGGGTTTGTAACTATAATAGGGAAAATTGCTTAACATTGAATTTGTATATATTCGTCTCATTTTGCGCTACCCCCTGAACGTTATAGTATACAGGCCAGTAGATAATTCCCCTATTGCATTTTGATGTATGCACCGACATTTTAGCAATTTATTTCCTGTTCCGTCCAGCTTCTCGCAGCGTCATCAGCAACAGCTGCGAACTCCTCTGCCAATCTATTTCAGTCCGTTTGGAAAAACGTAAATATCAGAATTTGCTTTGGTCATAGCAGTGTCAATGAAAGATCGGGGGGCCCGCCATTTGGATACATCGACAAGCGTTCACCGAGAAGCTAAGACGAAAGCTATTGTCTCGCTCTGTGATTCCCCCTATTTCGGCTTGTCCTTTCTTAACTAAGGAAAAGTTGCCCATTTGCTGCCTATTGTTATTGCGTGTGTCGCTGTTGCAACCATTACAGGTGCGGTGTTGGTGCCCAGCGCGTCATCCAGCCCCTCATCTGTATGCACTTGCCGCTGAGGTTTTCCTATCTGGCTGCAGCTGCTGCTGCTGCTGCTGTCTTGTCTCACACTGTATTAATGCCTTCCATCAATGACGTGGCTCAATGGAATAAGAGCGAATCATCTTGGTGTGGTTTGTTTTTTTCCTCTATGTACTAAATATATACACACATGATGTGTGTATACTTGGACTCGGTCCAGAGGCGCGCCAGTTTCAAAGTTTTTCCGGGTGGAAGCAAGGTGCAGGAGGATAATGAGGAAGAGGAAGGTGGGGGTGCGCGCATGCAATAAAATTGTCTTCAATGACCGATCGATTCCTAATCGCCTATTACATTATTGTGATTCGGCTATATGCGTGCACAACTACCCCATGAAATATCGCAGACAAAATTTAAACGTACAAAACAGGTCAGATGTTTCATGTTTTCGCGATTGCTCTCGTTCTCTTTCTTTCTTTCTTCATACTTAGAAAACCATCGGACGTTTATGTGGACCCTCTGTTATGACGGGTGCTACCAGCGAAGCAGAAGTCAACTAACTTCTTTCAGGCACGACAACAACAGATATGGCTGTTGATATAGACATTTGTGCTTACGTTTCTTTATAATAAAGTCCTTCTCTTGAGATACGCTCTATTCATATATATATATATATATACATATATATATATACATATAGACTGCATTGCATTACCGCAGTCGAATGGTAGGCCTTGTAATCAATCCTTTGTTAGCGCCATTGGCTTTAACACTTAGCCGGCGTATCTGCTACGAACTGAGGGACAACTGAACGCATACTGAGCGTTTCCCATGATCCCTTAACGGCTACGGTGGCCGCTCTACCTTGATGGGTGCTAGTACACTGCTGCTGTTAGCATCACAATAAAGGGAACAAAATCAAGTAGTACTGCCGGATCTGATAATGGCGAAAGGGGAAAATTATTCAGGACAGAACTGTCACTAGCTTTGCGTAAATATCCACCATACTTTCGGTGAGTACCGCTCTTAGGGTGGTTACAGAGGTCTATACAGTAACTTACCTAACTAAAACTTGGTATGTCAAGGATTCATTAATGAACGCTATGTATCAGAGTCGCCAGGAATTAATAATTTAGCGCATTAAAAGGAATTGACGTTTGTGAATTTTGTATTTACAATAACATTACATTGCGTGATATTGCTTATGTAGCATCGATCATACATCTGTATAGAAGTTAGGCCGATTGGCCTATATGGGTTAGAACTGAACAATCTGATAAGCAGAGTCACTGCAAGGATGCCAGAAGATTCTTTCCGTAACACGACTGGCCTGTAGCTGGACAAAAACCGTAGCTAGTAAACTGATATTTGTATCAATCGATTATTGGCATTAGTTTCAAACACCAGAAAACGATGATTAATTGTCAATGAATAGAAAGAAGTCGCATGCATTTACTGATACAGTATTGAACAGCTCCAATCGCCAAAGCGAATTCGGACGCTCAATATACTGGCCGGTTACAAGGAAATGTTAGTCCTACTAGACAGTTATCTATCGGCTGCTAAGATCGACTTGGTTTTTCGTCATCAGCCAATCATAT